AAAACGGATAGCTTTCCTCAGGGCCAATTTCCGATCGGTATATTCTTTAGGCTAGAGAGAGAGAGAGAGAGGAAGAGAAGGAAGCCTTAAAATGGCACATGTCAACAAAAAAATTAGCGCTTCGCTAATTCAAATATGCAAATCATGACCAGGAGGATGCTAAATTACTGAAGTTGAATATCAAATTGGTGGAAATATGAACTGAATATCAAGAATGGCCCAGTTAGTTAATAGGCCTATTCTTGCACTGGATGGGATTTCCATCTTTTCATTTGTTTATGATTTTTTGCGAATAAATCACGAATTGAAATTGTCAGCATGAACTAGAAAGGAATTATACGACAATTTGTCATTTGTCCACTATCAAGCACTTCTCGTAACCGTGAACCTATCACGTGTTATCAGTGACACGCAAAGTAGTATGGCTTCATCCTTGCATGCTAATTACGATCAGAAAAGTTAAAGTCCGGCATAAAATAGAAGTTTGAAACGTCAACATTTGCACATTAGTATAACCAAAAGTGAAGAGTACTGTTGACTGAACTAAGTAAGCAAAGCAACAATTCATGCAATATTGACTTTAGCGATAGGAAACGTCGAAATAATTGAAAAAGTAATGGATGAATAAAGGGAGAGAGAGGGATGAAGGGACAGAAAGAGGGAAAGAGGGAGAGAGAGAAATGGAAGTAATCGGCTGACAAAACGGATTACAGCTTTATAATGTTATTCATCAATGCCCCATTTACATTCTAGTTCTGCACTGATACTTTTCAGCTCACTAGCGATACTGTTGTGCTTCGACAAAAATGAAAGGGGAAACTTCTTCAACAAAACTACAAAGTGGATTCATTCTTAGATAAACCGGTTTAGATCCTGATCCACATCCAGATCTAGATCCTACTTGTGGCCTGCTATTCATTTGAATGAACTTGTTTGCGAAACCGCTGAATGATATGGATGCATAAAAAGATTCGAAGTAATAAGATTACGGATGATGACTAATTATATATTAAGTCTAAGGATTGTGATAGGCTTAAAGGGATGATAAGAAGACTAACTGATATGCCTTCGAATGTCACATATGCCACTAATCTATAGGTAACAGTACGTAGTAATGTGAATCATCTTCATTAACGAATTGATTACTACAATCAACCTGAATTAAGCTTAATTTCAGTTTCAAATTAATCATGTAAGTTGTCATTGACACAAATCCGTAAGGTAAGAGTACTTATTTGGCGGATTTAATTGAGTGGAATTTGACACAGTAATTACAAACATTCCATAACGGCATAAGCAGATGAAGTTCATGTGCAATACTCGTTTGCACTTGCTTCTTTCATCTTTTAACAATGCTGGGAATCTGTAAGTGATACGTCGGTAGGTGAAGAATGATAAGAAAAACAGATGCAATATTAGGTGGTGGAAGCAGTAGCTAATAGAGGAAACAAAGATCAATGTTAAGAAACATAATAAGCTGACGTGAAGTGATAAACCTAAAGACCCTTCAAACGCCTTTCGCCAGTTGCACTTCCATATCATTTGCAATGTGTATGACGAACGGAAAACACAATTTACCTCCTTTCCGGTATAGCTTGTAGTATTTGTCCATGTGTCTGTGTGGGTGTTTGCCTTTGTCTGCACTCAGCTTCTCCTTTCTCTCCTCCTCCTCCTCTTCCTCCTCCTTCTTAACCTATTGTGTGTGATAACTGCAGGATAATTTTATGGGCTGACTGGGGGAGACAGTCGCAAAAAGTGTTGAATCACTTTGTTTGGGATCAATTGGCTATCACTTATTGTGGTACTGATTATTTAATCAGATGAACCATACAGATAACTAAACATTGCCAGATGTATATTATCAGAAGGCATCTAAATGCATCAATGGAAGACATTTTTAAGAAAAGATGAATGAATTACTTTTCATATCTTTTTTCTGTCTCAAATTTTAGCTCTTTGACCTTTTATTTTTATCTTTGCCCTCATTTTCACGCCATATTCTCATCACTTATTTTATTTTTGTCATTTTCTCCATTACAGTGTCAGTACTTTCTTCGGATCTCAGTCGACACTATCACTTCTTATTCTTGCAAACCATTCCTTCCACACTTACGTGGTTAGTTTGATTGATGTGCAAACGTCAAACATCATTAGGTCCTAGTTCAGATCACGCCCTCAGATTCTATCCATCTATCTTCTCATTCATGGAAAATGGTATCGATTTGAAGACAACGAGGATACTTATTAGCTGAAGTGTCATATCCTTTTTACCAGTGATCGCCGATTTCTTTTCTCTTCTGTCATAGCATTGCTTATAAATGGATGTACCATGAGTGATGTGTACGATACTTAACCAAAGAGAAGAAAAGCATTCGTTACTTTTTGATATCATCATGATGAGGTTTTGCGAACAAAGATTTGGGAAGAGCTCTATCCGAACTTGTTGCAAACGTTACTAATGTGAATGTGCCTTCTAACCTGCGCAATGGATTTGTTAAGTGCGCCATAGCGTGCGCGGAAAAGGCTCACCCTTTACTTACAAGGTTATTTGTCGAGGAGTCCTCAGAACGTAGGTTTTGTTTGAGTATTCTTCTTAGATGGCTTTACAGAGCTGAGCGAGTTCCCTCTGCCTGCTTTTAGAGTTAGACTTAACTTTCTCCCAGGATAGTTGCTGAAAGTTAGCGAGCCACCAATGGACACACTTTGTCTTACCTTCCAATTGAGACCTCTCTAACATGGAAAACCCTACAGAAGTATACGCCACCGCTACCATAGTTCGCAACCTCATTAGAGCATGCAAGCTTCTCCCACTACAGGAGAGGGGGAATCACTACTGTACTTTTAGTAAATTAAGGCACAGTATGATACATTGAGCCCTAACCGTTGTATAATGGGGTCGAGTGGTTTCGGGACTTTTATCGTGATCAGTCGCTTTAGTTGTTTGGTTGTTGTTGAATAGGCATGATCATTTGATATGCAGTCGATGCCACTATTCAGACTACTAATCATCTTGGGAATGAAATTTTTACAGCAAATACTTTTTCGACTTTATCATACGTTACTGAAATCATTCACCATTTATTGCTAAATGTCAGTGTCCAATTAGTGGTAAAAGGTCATGCCAGATGATCATCACATTAAAAGACATTGTTTATTGATATACTGTAATGACTGATTTCTACAGTTCCCACTCTACTATCTTATTGATTTCTCTATTTAATGCCATTTAGAGGCGAAAAATGATGACATTTTATACTACTTCACAAAATAAAGCCAATCATCGCAAACTGTTCCTTATCGAAAGGTTGCGAAAATGTTTAGCTTAGGTCACAAAATTCCGTACACTCTTTCTCTCTGCCGTTATGAGAATGGATAGTTAACCATAGGTATAATTCTTTTGATCAAAATGGTTATTGTACTTCCAAAGAGATTTCGATCATCCAGGATACATGCTGCTTACTCTATAACTTTTATCTTTCGTTGCTTAATATTTCCCACATGCTTCATTTTTTTCCTCTCATTAATTAATGATTTCACCCAACAAGCTGTAAATTTCAGGCCATTTTTCTTGCTCCATTTTTGAAAAGAAAATATGTCAGCGAAAGCAATTAGTGAATATACGGGCAAGGAATTGCTATATCGACATCTGAAGGAGCTCGAATTTGTCGAGAAACCACAAGCGTTAAAACTTACCTCAAGCGACTCATTCGATGTTGTAACAGATAAAATTAAGTGGCTCAATCATGATAAGGTATTTGCTAAATTTGAAATTGCGTTATCTTTTTAAAAAGATTTCTCATCCTTCTCCCGTCCCGATATTGAATTCGTTTATTCTAGGCGAGGGAAATGTTTGAAATACAAGCTTATGGCAATTTTCTGAGAATACGAACTAGGCACTGTTGCAGTTCATTGATGAAGGATTATTCAGACAACCTGATACTTTGTATTTTACCTTTATCCAATCAAACTTGTGAAATGAAAATTGTGAATACAACTGAGAAATGTACTACCTGTCCAAGGATCTGTGAGTGTTTTCAGATTTCCTTGTTAGATCTTCAACAAGTCAAGGGAGGTATAGCAATTCTTGTTTACTTAACTGTATCCAAATATCACTTAAAGCGGTGTTTTTCGTTTTCTACATTCTCTAAATTAACCTGTTGGATAACAGTCATGTAAATGGAGTTGTTAAATCAAAACTCACACTTCAATACATAACTTGCAGGGGGAGCACGGATAAATTACTTAACAAAAAAATAAATGCTAAAGTTTATGCCACTATGATTAAACCAGATCAATTGTTACAGAAAGCGGTGATTAAACCAGATCAATTGATCAAGCGCCGAGGTAAATTGGGTTTAGTGAAATGTGGAAATGTTTCTGTCCTACGTGACTGGTTCAACGAAATGAAAAATAAAAGCATGCAGGTTTGATTTGTAGACTTCTTTTGGCAGATTTCTCTGCTGCAGATATCTTCTGCAAATCGTCTGTAGTACTGATGTGGTATGTTTTCAGATCGACAAAGTAGTTGGATGTTTGCGTAATTTTATTATGGAGCCGTTCTGTATGCATTCAGAGAGCGATGAAATGTACATTGCTATAATTAGCAGACGCGAAGATGACGTCATCCTTTTTTATGAACATGGTGGGGTCGATATTGGCGACATTGATGCCAAGGTTTAGATTTCAGCCATTTACTAGCTTGATCAATTATTAAACAAGTAGTACTAAGGAATTTATTTAAGGCTCGTAAATTGTATTTCCCGGTGGATATCGACAGAAAGAGCGTTTCTATTGCTGACCATGATGTTGAATCACTGATCGGCCCAATGGAAAGCCAGAAATTATCGTATGTCATTAATAATTTCGAATTCTTGGTATTCGACCTGATTTTTAGGTTTAAGAAAGTTCAATAATTATTTCGAAACAAATTTGTTATGAACGGCTTTAGATACTAATGCAATATTGCGTTTATTTTTGACTCGTATGTGAAGTTATATGTTTTTAAAACTATCTTTTAAGAAAACTACTTACGCTTTGTTATTCCTGATCATCTAATTTTGGATGTTGATGATTGCTAACAGCTTAAACTTTTTTCGACTAGTAATGAGGTCATCATTGAGAGGGAGGTGTTAACTTGGGTCCGTAAATTTATGAGGTCCAAATAATTTTTGCATTCAAGTTATTTTTAGCGCTGAGCCAGATATTTAATCATCTCGTTATATTTTCAGACTGCTGAAAACCTTTGTAAAAGCTCTTTACTATGTGTATAAGGAGAACTGCTTCACCTATTTAGAAATAAACCCATTTGGTAAGAATTCCTATGGTTAAATTTTTTGCTTCAAATGCTTTTGTCGATTTCCCAAGAGTTGCACTTTAATAGTAGTAGGGGTTTACTGTTTTCAAGTACAAAATGGAAGATTTTATGGATTGTTCATCGTCCGGAATTTCGTTACTAATTAATTACATTATAGTTCTAGTCAACAACAAAATCTACATACTTGATCTTGCTGCAAAGCTTGATGAAACAGCACTGTTCCTTTGTTCGGAAATCTGGAAGACCAGAGATGGAGAACCGGTTGATTTTCCTGCTCCTTTTGGAAGAGATAAAATGGCAGAGGTTTTCATGCTTATCTTTTGCTCAAAAAAATCTGCCGGCTCTGGTGGGCGAAAATTCCTCATTATTATATACTAAACTATCAGTGAGGTTACTTTGAAATTTGGCGTATATTTAGATATAAGATTGTGCCTTTGGTTATTTTGTTAAATTTGTAATGAAATGAGAAATCATTTTTCTCCAATTTTTCTTTCAACTTTTATGGTTTGCTTTTAATAGTTATTAGTAATGACTCTAATGCTGGTATTCCTTCATGTTTTGCTATGTTCTTTGCTCGTCCTTCCCAATAAGTAATGGTGACGCAATAACTAACAGTGATGGCAAGTTGAACTCAACAAAAATATGTGGTTAAAGATTCCAAATTTCAGTAAGAGAGAGAAGAGAGATCAGTTGTAAAAACCGCCTTTAGCATCAATAATTATTTGCGGAGTCATTTTTATAATTTTTGCAGGAGAAGTATGTTGCTGATCTCGATTCAAGAACTGGTGCTTCATTAAAACTAACCATTTTAAATCGTCGAGGTCGTATTTGGACTATGGTAGCTGGTGGTGGCGCTTCTGTTGTTTACACGTATGTCTCGAGACTTAATTAATCATGAAGCAAGTATTTTAGATGGTTTTTGATTTACTGTTTTATCACCGATTAATATCTTTTAGCGACACAATTTGCGATCTGGGAGGAATGTCTGAGCTGGCAAATTATGGTGAATATTCGGGTGACCCCTCTGAAATAATGACTTATGAATATGCAAAAACAATACTCAGTGTACTTACGGAAGGTTCACCACATCCGAAAGGCAAAATTCTTATTATCGGTGGCTCAATTGCTAATTTCACTAACGTTGCAAAGACATTTAGAGTAAGTTTGTAATCTTATTCTTCTTATTTGAGGAAAGTGGCGTTAAATTAATTTATTGCAGGGAATTATAAAAGCCATTGAGGAATATGGGGAACTTCTCCATGAGCATAAGGTCACCATACATGTACGAAGAGGGGGACCAAATTATCAAGAAGGGCTAAGAAAAATGAAAGAAACGGGTTTGTTTCATTTCTCTTATATCGTTCCATCTCATCATTTTTTTAATGAGCATTTTCAAATCCTGCGAGAACATGTTAATTTTGTAGGTTCGCGCTTAAACTTACCAATTCATGTATATGGACCAGAAACCCATATGACAGGTATCGTCGCAGCAGCACTGGGAATATGTCATGCTCCCGACAAGCCATTAGCTTTGCAAGCTACTGATCAATTTCTTCCACCAAAAGTAGATGTGAGTGTGGATAGATAACAGAGATATCTTAGAAGTTATGAACCATTAATATTTATTCTTAATATCGAAATAATCTTTCAGAATGTGGAAAATATAGAGTTGGAATCTTCCTTAAACATGACATCACCGGCAAGGAAGATTATAAAACTAGCAGCAACTGGAAATGAACCGATGGAAACCAGTGATCGCGAGATCAGACTAAGCGGCAGTTTATTTGAAAATCATACAAAAGCCATTGTATGGGGACAACAAATGAAGGCTATACAGGTAAACATGAATATACTTGAAGACTTCAACTTTTTTAAAAATATTTTTCAAAAATATACTGTCAAATTTCAGGGTATGCTTGATTTCGATTTCGTTTGTGGTCGTTCACAGCCGTCAGTGGTTGCATCGACGTATCCTTTTATAGGTGACCATAAGCAGAAGTATTATTTTGGTCATAAAGTAAGTCAACTTTTACTTTCTTTCTTTTGTATTGTTTTGTATTGTTCGTACTAATACTATTTTCGATCATCATTGGTCAACAATTTTTTCATTCATCTTTTGGTTGCATAGTACTTTTCAGGAAATTCTGGTACCAGTTTACAAATCAATGAAGGATGCTTTCATTAAGCATCATGATGTTTCTGTTTTTATCACTTTTGCTTCTTTGCGATCTGTCTATGCAACAGTTCGAGAAGCTTTGGACTTTTCACAAATTCGCGTCATTGCAATAATTGCTGAAGGCATACCCGAAAATCAAACACGGCAGTTGATTAAGGCAAGTTTATAGAGTTTCAGTTATTCGTTGTTTCTTCCAGCATGTAATACTGAGAGACAAGCTGGTTTTAATTTATCGTGCATTCCAGTTGGCAAACGAAAAATGTGTAACATTGATTGGACCGGCTACAGTAGGTGGCATTAAACCAGGTTGTTTTAAAATCGGTAATACTGGTGGTATGATAGACAATATATTGTCGCTGAAGCTGTATAGACCGGGAAGGTGATTTGTTTAATTTTTTTAGAGATTTATTGATATTAAATATGTTTACTAAAAACCAATATTTATAGTGTTGCATACGTGTCACGTTCTGGAGGAATGTCAAATGAGCTGAACAACATCATTTCGCAAAATGCTGATGGAGTTTATGAAGGAATTGCTATTGGTGGTGACAGGTACCCAGGAAGCACGTTTGTTGACCATCTTCTTCGATACGAAATGGATGACAGGTTATTAATGAGTGCTGAATAATTGGCAGGAATATGAGAAATAGAATTTCTTTGGTGTACTTAGAAATATTATAGAGTGAAAATGATGGTTATGCTTGGTGAACTGGGTGGTGAAGAGGAATACAAAGTTGTTGAAGCATTGAAGGAGAAACGTCTTACGAAGCCTTTAATTGCTTGGTGCATTGGAACGTGTGCAAACTACGTTACATTTGAGGTTCCTTGAATAATTCAATGCGTTAGAAGTCAGTTAGAAATATTAGATACGGAAGTTTGTAATATCTTGGCAATAAAGATTGAAATGCTATCTGACATACGTTTAGTTTCTGTTATGCTCGAAAAAGGAAATTTTGCAAATGGACGTTTTGGTTAAGCATGTTTTGAACTAAACACCTTATTTTGTATCCCTTAATCCCCCCATTTTTTTCGTTGCTCGGCTAATCGTTTTATAGTTTAGATTCAATTCGGTCATGCAGGTGCATCAGCTAATGCACAAGCTGAAACTGCTACTGCTAAAAATTTAGCACTGAAAGAAGCTGGGGCTTATGTGCCTAATTCCTTTAACGATTTAGGTGACGAAATTGCCAAGGTTAGTAATCGTTGCATTCACTTTATAACCTCCGATTTAATCCCTGTTGAGAGGTTTTCTTTTTTCCCTTTCTCGATATCAACTTTTCCATGTTGCAGATTTACAAAGATCTTTTGCAAAAAGAAGTAATTGTATTGAAAGAAGAGCAGCTACCTCCTACTGTACCCATGGATTACACTTGGGCAAGGGTAAGCTTAACTAATAAATCCAGTTATTGCTTTTTATTTTGGCAATACTTTTGCGCTGTGTTTCTTATGGAAAGTACTTTGCAGGAACTAGGTTTAATACGGAAGTCTGCATCATTTATGACGTCTATATGTGATGAACGTGGTGATGAGCTCCTTTACGCAGGTATGCCAGTATCTCGTGTGCTTGAACAAAATATTGGCATTGGAGGTGTGCTTAGCTTACTTTGGTTCCAGGTATGTCGCTGTTTGTCATGAGCTTTCAAAGTCATTTATAAAAAATGCAACGTCTGCATTCTTTGAATTCAAGAATCATTAGGTGTACATGTTTGCGAGGTTATTTCTTTAGCAAGCGCTACAGATTGTTATGTATTCGAATATCACGATTTTTGCAGAAACGACTGCCGGATTACGCAAATAAATTTATTGAAATGTGTTTGATAATAACTGCGGACCACGGACCTGCTGTAAGCGGTGCTCACAACACGATTGTATGCACTCGAGCTGGGAAGGATTTGGTGTCATCCTTGGTTTCTGGGTTATTAACAATTGTAAGAATTTTTTATGTTACATTAAGATTATTTCATCACAATTTCAAGTCGGAAATATGCTATAAGTGGTTAATCTCTATTTAAATGCGACTTTGATAAGGACAATTTGTTCTTCATTATTTTCTACTGATTATTGAGATGTAAATTCATCTAAAATATAGCTGTGTCAAGCTATTGATGAGTTATACTTAATATATTACAAATTAATCAGTTCGGAGTAATCTACTTATGTTGAAATATAGTGTATTTAAATTAAATGAATTGCAAGAGTAAATTGTTAATATATGAACTATGACAGGGTGATCGATTTGGGGGTGCATTGGATGGTGCAGCACGGCAGTTCAGTGAAGCATTTGATAAGGGATTGAGTCCTATGCAATTTGTTAATGAAAAGCGACTTGCTGGTGAACATATCATGGGGATTGGACATCGTGTCAAGTCGGTCAGTTTTTTCTTAATTTAAATGTGGACATACCAAATGATCAAGGATAATGTTACAGTTCATATACCACGTTGTACATAAATTTTTAGATCAATAATCCAGACAAACGTGTCGATATATTAAAAAATTTTGTTCTGGACCGGGAAAAGTTCAAGCAAGAAACTCCATTATTAGAATACGCGTTGAAAGTGGAAAAGATTACTACGTCAAAGGTATATTTGAAATATTAGCATGCTAATCTCATCAACAAAAGTTAGAAATGATCTTGATTTTCAATATTTTTAGAAAGCAAATTTAATATTGAACGTTGATGGAGCAATCGGTGTCATTTTCGTAGACATACTTCGCTGTTCCGGGATGTTTACGTCCGACGAAGCACAGGAAATTATCGAAATCGGGGCTATAAATGGGTTGTTTGTTCTGGGGCGAAGTATTGGATTTATCGGTATGTTCATATTGAGACCTTTTCGTATATTGAAACCTTTTGTGTGTTCAGTGCAGAGCATTTTTATTTTTCGGCATCAGTATGCAGTTACATATCAGACAGAACCGGAGTCAGACCCGTCAGCGACGTCAACCTTTCGCCGCTTATTAAGTTTTACCTACTAATGATCACTAGTGAATTGGAATTCAGATACATAAATTAGTTTATTTAGGGCATTACTTGGATCAGAAAAGGCTCAAGCAAGGACTGTATCGACATCCATGGGATGATATTACATATATTTTGCCTCAAAAGTAATTCAGTGATGATTTAAATACATGACATTTGATAATTCTCTTTTCGGTAAGCTACTGTTTCACAGATTTGATTTCTATTATTTAAGCTGTCACTTTTAGGTTTTAAATGCAGCATTTTCTTGTCATTCTTTTCGTTTGTAGAAACAACTTTGCGTGTATCTTGTAATGTAGATTTCGTCTGTCAGTGAATTAAATTCTAAATATGCAAATGCATAGAGACCAATGGATCGCTTTTTATTGTCATTATTTTATGTTTCGCACCAAATCATATTGTCAAGAACGATTTACACATTGAGTTTTTTGCTATCAGGTTTCTTGGTAATTCCGTTACTGCGTTCCTATCTCTTGAGAAGGGCTGAATTATGTGAAATGAAAAGTATACCACATCCTGTTCATCTTTATGAAGTTTTCTTTTTCGTTTTCAATTGTGTACCATATCTTTTATGTTTGTATCAGTTCCAATCCTCTGCAATAAAAGCTACAAATTTGGATTGCATCGAATTTGTTCACTGATATTGATATTTTATCACAGTGTAAATTCTAGTGGCATTGATGACATTCCTATGCGATCAGTCTTCAATATAAACACGAAAAGCTCAATGATGTCACGAAATACTAATTCAGAGAGATTTTTTACTTGCAGGAGAGAAGTATTAATGTGAGTTCGCCAATCTGTTGTTTTGTCTTCCGCTTGATTTATATTTGAGAAGAAGGATTTACTTTTTAGTCCTGCAACAGCATTTTAATTTTCCCAAAAAATCGTCTTCATTCTGTAAAATGATAGCAAAGTAACATGAAGAATGATTTATAAAACGAAAAAAAAAAAAAAAACCAAGCTGCGTAAACAGCTAGGAAGATTGAACGAAGAGCTTCTCGCTTTATCCATTATTTCTTTGCCATCTAATATGTAAGTCAGCAAATTCTTCCCTGTTTACCTCTAGCAAAGTTCTGTTCTCATCCCTCATTGACTGTACTTGCTGAAAAATTTTGATTTAATAATTTAACTGAATATCAGTACCGCTATTCCAGTGACTTCAAAACGATTATTCAGTTACGGTAAAGGAGAATATTTCCCTAAATTCTGGATAATTTGCGCTATATCTTCCTGTTATCGAGATTATCATTTGCACCATTTTATGCTCAATATTTTAAACTTCAGCTTAACAAAGGAGGACTTAATTGTCGGTAGTTTATTAGGCTTGTAATTTAGCCAGAAGATATGCTTTCTGAATGTTGCATGTTGACATAATGGTATATTTCTCGATGAGTTAATCCTATTAATGCAAACAATTGTACAGGCCGTATGTTTGTCGTATTATTTCAGTTTGTCTTGCTAGATTTCTCGTGACATTTAAATCATTTATTCTTATACCATCACAAGTTAAACTTCAAGTATTTGTTAACATTTTGATCTATCCATTCAAACTCAATCATTATTGATACATCTCTTTCAAGAAAGATAAATTCATCAGTTTTAGGAACAAAGATGGGAATGCTTATTTTAGCATAGTTTAGGATGAAAGAGGAAAAATGCCCATTTTCTCTTGGGAATATGAGAAACTGGTGGATTTTGTTTTTTCGATGTCTCGTTAGCTGGCAGAAAATATGATTTTAACAAATTTATTGTGTTATAGTCAAAATTTCTGATACATTTGTCTCCGCAGTATGTATAAGTTTCGAAAATGTCATCTGTGGTACTTCATTATTATCATTATCTTATCATCACCACTCATACATTATCGTTGTTAGCACAAGCAATTAACTGCTGAAAAATGAGATGAACTGATATCTGTTCAACAATGAAGATTAAATGGTCATTAAAAGAAACAGTTTTCAAAAAGAATTTCATAGCTTTGCTTCAAGAGTATAATATTAAAATGAGCGAATAAATAAACCAAAAACAAAAAAAAAACTCAAATCAAGGAATTGTTGCACAAATGAAACAATATTGGACTTTCAAGATTCCATCTAGCAGTATTATTCAGAAACATGTCACTTCTAAATTCTATGATGAACTTTTACTAATGAATCATAATTAATCAAGTTCAACTCTATTTTTGATTAGTCCGATCTGTCAACAAAAAAAAAAAAAAAAAAAAACTAGAAGGGGTGGATTTTCAGCTTATAACTATGATCTGAAAAAAAAAATCTATGATCTGCTGTTATCTATATTGCCATTGTTTTTTTCCTTTTTTGCTTGATTGCCGCTCTACACCTGTCACATGTCATCAGTTATCGTTCAGATCACAAGTTACTTTTCACAGAGCACAGAGACGCATAGGTGGTGCTATTTGTCTTGTTACTTTAGCCTGAAAAGGCTTCAAACGAAATTTTCGCCCATCACACCCATCCTTTCTTCCAGTTACAGCCAGAAAGAAGCCTATCCTGTTCAGCAATTGATTCAATAGTTGGATGTGAGCCATATAGCCTTGTTTGCATCATCGCTTTACGTCCTCTTTATTCATGGCCAAGACACTACTTTGTTTTGAAGGTCATCATTGTCGCATTCCAATCTTTCTCTCTCTCCCTCTCTCTCCATTCAACTTTCAAATCTAACCTATACAGTTGGCAAACTTATCAAAATTTCCAGAAAGCACTTTCATTCTTTGTCTTCATCTTTTTTATGAATGCATGGTTAGCTGAAACTATCATATATCATAAGCTGAAGCTGAAACATTTCATTGTCAACAATACTTTCTCTGTCAAAATTGTCGCATCAGGAAGATATCTATCTTCCCTACTCTGTTAATAGTAATTGGCATTGTCTTTCCTCATATCTATCTCATTTTATATAACTTCAACAAATAAAATTATTGATAATTATTTGTTAAAGTAAACTTCAACAAATTAATATTAAATTGAAATTAAACTGAATTGGATTACTTCTCATTGACTAATTTTTGAAATATAAAATGACCAGTATAATTTGCTGTAATGAATCATTGTTAGTGACATGATATATAATGATTTCATTGAGGTCATACCGATTTCCTTGTCACCTCTCCCTGATATTGATAAAATAATATCACATCAGTCATTCAAGATGAATTTCACTCAGTCGCTTATCATCTGATAGTTATTTGTGTGCAATCTATCATTGCTTCTTACCATTTCAGTATGTGACAAATAATCCACGTTATTTATGTTATTTATTAATTATCAGATTTCTTGAAATATAAGTCCCCAAGACTACTGCTAATTTTACTATTGGAATAATGAAACCAGTCTAAGAACTTATTTTTATTGGCAATCTAGAACAGTTCACCGTATTAATAATACAATCCGTCAGTCATTTCCTGTCATCATATTAATGTTACGGTAACAGGAAATGTTTTAACGCTATATTGAAAAGTTAAAAATATTTTTCTTTTTAAATGAAATCCTTCAAATAGATCTTAAATTTGAGTTATAATTTTGAAAACGAACTGCATAATATGGAGAAAATGTTATTTCGAAGTTTTATTTTTCATTGTCAAAATTCAACAGATATCTTAAACTTTAAAATGGTATCCTTGCTTTGCTATCACTTTGTTTTCATGATTATAATACCTGTTTGGATAGTTACCATAATGATCTATTACTATCTCCTAGGTATTATTAATTTATTGTCCACATTAATAATCAGCTACAATATACAATGTCATCCATCCAATCGAAATAGAAAGATTTCAATGACTGATCCGTCCGATAATTACTGCTATCCATTCCAATAGCAATGCCATAATTCGTTATGCGAAAATGATTTTCTCGCCATAATCATCGAAAATTAAATGATAGTATCCTTTAATAAAACAACCATTTCAACTTTTTATTAACATTTAAATCATTTTCAAAATAAACTATTTCCGCCTTATCATTTACTGCTTTTAAGTGAAAAGGAAAGAATCAATCATTGCTCTTCCTATCACTCTTTAAAATCCTTTTTCGAAGTGCATCAAAACTTCTGAAAACCAAATAGAAGAGAGCGACGTTTGCGCCATTTAAGCTTATCATTCTATTGACTCATCCGCTCACATACGTGAAATTTGAATGGATCCATGAATTTCTTGGAGAAGAGGGGATGAAGCTTTGCATTTTCGTTAGGTTGCTAGGCAATGGAGTAATGAACCGATTAATGGATGAATAGGTATTCTTGCCTTAGCTGTAAAGTATATTTACAAATTCCTGTCTTGTCAAATATTACAAAATATATTTTGAAGGAAGATGAAACATATAGCTTCATTTGAATTCGTTATAACCGTATGCCAAATAGTCCGGTAAAATTATTGGCCTCCAGAAAAATTTAAATTATTGGATGTCGTGAAGTTACTTTATTGATTTGTTTGTAATACTACCTGTGCATTTTTGAAATTTCCATCTGATAGCAAGAAGTTATTCATATGAAAATTGTCCTTTATGGATTGCTAGAATTTTTTTTCCTTCTTAATTCTGTTCTATTCCTTTTTTTTTCACGTTCCATTGTTGTGTCATCAAAAAGCGAAAACAACTTTTATGAACACTTGAGTACTGCTTGTCTCTCCTTAAAATTTCATTTTGCTGAGATCGCCATAATTGACCACTCTCTGTATCTTTGACCTTTTATTAGCTTAATTCTAATTTCCAATCATCTATCTTCTTGCTCATTTTATTCATGCTATTTGTCTATTTTTCATCAAATATACAAAATTTGCTTAATTGTATGGGATTTTTTTTTTGTAAAATCTAATATATACAACGAGGAAGAGACTTCGCGTTAGCAAAAAAAATAAGTGGTCAGCGTTTCCCATAAAAGGAAAGGCAAGATTTCCAAAGGGATGATGACCATTCATCTTTTCTTATATAAATGACCACTGCAAATTCTTTTGTTTGATATTACGATTTCAAGTTGTCTTAAAAGTGTTAGGTCATATTTTGCGTCTTGTGTACATACGGGTTTCGATGGTTGATTACTATTTGCATTAGAAATTTATTAAAATTATCTTGAAACTTATTAATAATTTAATTCTTTTGATAAACACCTTCTACTTACAAATACAAGAAGAAAAAAAGGCTTGCAAATTAAATTCAGAATTTTTTTTTTTGTTGACATTGATCATCTCAGTCTTTAATGTCATAAAGAAAAACCTACAGAAGTGAACAACAGTTCCCTATTTTGTCCCCATCTATTACTATCATCATTGGCGCTAATGACGTCTCATATTTATTTATGGAAATGATTTTGACCAATAATAACTGCTACAATTATAGCAATTCATTATTGTCCGATATTTCGTTAATGTTCCAAGAAGAAACTGTAATTGGCGCAAAATCTGTTTGGTAAATGACAGATGCGCTGTACAGCGACGCTATGGAAAGAATATGAAGCACAACGTCAACATATTCAACTTGAATTTGCCAAACAATTACGAGCAAATATGGCTACATTGGTAAGCTATTAAATATATACCTTTTTCTGCCAAAAAAAAACAAACAAACGCCAAACTTTGCTATGACTAATCCGGAATTACGGAAAATTGGCAGATTTTTCTTCCTGTTCCGTTCCCTTGGTAGTTTTCGTCATACACTTCCTGACTAAACTAAAGGTCATATTTTTCTGTCCCACAAAAATGCGGCAGTTAATTTCCATTTAATTGTACAGCTGTACATCTCTTGATCCTGGCTGCTATATGAATGAAATGCTAGGAATGAATTTCATTCATAGCGATCAAATATGTTTCCATTTCATACCACTTGGATCCTTCATCATTGCAATCTCAAATTTGTCACCAAGGTATGTGACAGAATTAGTTTCAGTATCTAGGATCCTTTCTGATACTTTCAACCTTATAACATCTATTTTTGATTTAATATTTTCAGAAAAAATAATTTCAAGTTGTAAATTACTTTTTTTTTCTTAATATCATTTTTATACGAACTTTAAGCTATCCAACAATTACAGATTGGGAATATTGAGCATGCGGATGTGTTGTTGGTTGCAGCAGATGGAAGCAAACTTCCTGCACATCAATGTATCCTACGACAACGAGCTCCAGGCTTTTTTAAAACGCATATTGAGCCAACCCTGAAAGCTTCTCCATATGAGGCTACTCATGGAATACTTGAAGTTGCAGTAGGTGATATCGATTTTGCTGGTCTAAAATTTTTTATAAGGTTTTTTTTTCTTGCACAATTTAATAGTAATTAACAATTATTTCATTTTAGGATTAATATCTAAGCTACTTTAATTGCCAACGCTTCTGAACTTAATAACCAAATTAAACTAAATATTTTTTTTAATCTCAAAACTGACTAACGCTTAACCCTAAAAGTTCAAGTATAGAATAATGTACAGTGCCGAAATTACGTTTAACGGCAACGGGTATTTTTTAAAAATGTTTTTTTTCTTTTCTAATTCCACTCTCTTTATATGAACTTTTAAAACAATTAGAGTAATTAATAGTGATGATTATCCGCAGGGCTGTGTATACGGAGGATGAAGCGTCAAATCTACCTGAAAATGGTATCATTGATCAAGAGATGTTTGATGGACAAGATGACAACCATCACAAAGGTTTATCTTTTCCTTCCAATTTAATTATTTTTGTCAAGAAAAAAAAAAGGTGCAATTTTCATGTCTTTTTTCAATACATGTGTAAATTAAAAAGGGAATTAAATTGCTATAAATTCCTTTTACTTCTTTTCTGCTTGCTTTATTGATTGAGCAAAACAGCTTATAAACGATAATATGCTTATTTGCTTAGCATTAAGCATGGCAAACTATGCTTACTAACTTAAGCTTGTAAGCATGAACCTGAATGAGTTGGGTGCTTATAGAAGGTGAGGAATCGCATCACAACAATAATATGGATGAGTCAACCGAATTTGAGGATATGGGTACGGAAGGTTTGATACAGGTAGATGATAATGGTGAAACGGATACATCAAAAAATAATGCGATATGGGACGATTCATTGGCATTTTCTGAAGCTGTATCCATGGTTAACACGGGTTCGGATATAGCTATTTAACATCATTTTATGATTATCACATACTATCACATGAAACGTGTCATATACAAACTTAAAATTGAAACGTATAAATGCTTGAAAATTAATTTTTCAAGCATTTTATGTTTGTGACAATAACAATTCTTAGATTAACTTTTCAGCAAGCACGTAGAATTCCAACAATTTTTTTTCTCACTTTACGCAAAATTATTTTTTTCTTCTATGAACAATGTTTGGCTGGTCAGTGGTTAGCTGTCTAGTGACACAGCAAAGTTTATTTCGTGGTTGGCTACTCAGAAAGTTCACCATTAAGCTTGATAACGCTAACAAGTTATTCGATTCAAATATTTAAAAAATCGACTGCTAAAACCTTAAAAAACTTTAACTTAAACACCTGAAAAATTCTAAGGAAATTTGAAACTTAAATAACTTTGGAAGAAAATATAATATGCCAGCTAAAAGCTAAATGTTAACGTGCATGTAAATAAGATAAAATAGAAAATTTGAATCTATAAGAGGTCTAGGCTCTATCGCTGGCACATTAGGCTGTTTAAAGATGTTTTAGTTGAAGAAGAAGATGGATAATGAGCAGTCTCCAAACAGATGCTAATAACATCAATGCTATGGAATGAAATGAATAGACTTTGTGTACTGATAGAAACTTCTGGCCTAGGATAATTACCAAGCAAATGCCAAAATGAGTCTAAAGAATGAATGGATTGCATATTTACTCATTACATTTAAAATGTGCATCGTGGGAAGGTGTTGTTATATTTTACAAGTTTTCCGCTTCTTAGAATTTTATCAATCAATTGTCGAATTACCGGCCTTTGAAGAAGCATGGAGTAAGACTACAAAATGTGTCGTTCTTTTTTTTCCAACAAATGAACTGTTGACTGTCTGAATAATTCCGGTTTGTGGAAAGTTTTTAAATGAATTCCTGAAATTCAAATTCAATTCCTGAAATTGTATTATAGGAACTAACATTTGCGGAAATTTGAATTTTTCTTTATTGTCATATTACAGTGAAATGCTCCAAACAACTCGAAAAGACTTATCGATCTAGTCTGAAAATTATCATTAGTGTAGATTGAATCAGATAGCCTGATATCTCCCGATGTTTAGATTGAACCAGATGGCCTTATATCTTCCGAACAATAAACTTTTTAAAATAGGCATCTTCATTGACAGACGTGCTGCACTTGTAAAGGAATCCTGATGTCCAAATGACCTATTGCAATGGAAAAATTTCCTGATAAAAAATTCAGCATAGGTTAACTAGCCAAAGAAGTTGACCCTTTTACACTCAATAAATCATTGAAGTATAATCTTTGATAATAGCACTTCTTTTGGCTTTATAATTTATATTTTCACCTTTACAAACTCTGTAAGTATATTAGAGTGCAAGAAGTGGTAATTAAATTATTAAACTGCTCATTAATTAACATCCCACCTCTCCTGAATTGTTCTTCGACAACTATTTCAAATTATAAACATTTAATCGTACCGGTAACTATCCATCTTCAATTTGATACTCGCTTCTGATAGAATATTTCAATAACATAAAACAAAGCAAAATTTAAGTAAGTAAGACAACAGAAAATGCTGGTCGATTACGAGAGATGACATCATTTCAAGAATTAGCTGTTATGGATTCACCGATGTGTACCTCACTGTCATCATCGGAATTACCTGGAAGTTGTACAACATCTGTTCAAGAGGATTCCAATGAACAACCATTGAAAGAATACACACTTAGTCGTATGTTATTTTGTTTTTAGTATCTCTTAGAATCACTTTCAGATTCATCTCACATTTATCAATTGCTGTTAAGATGAATTTTCACAATTACCAATATTTTTGATAAAATTGTCACATTAAACTTTTTTTTTCAACATTCTTTTTTCATTGCATATCTAATTATATTTTAGTGCTATTCTAATTTGCATAACTTCGTCAACAATATTCCAGCATCATTCATCTGCGTCAACAAATTCGATGAAACAAGTAATAATAGCACACCTACTAATGATAGTACTTCGATGGAGTGTGTGACATCTGCGCAAAAGAAGCATATGTTTCAGATGTTTGTTGGCCTAGAAGGTTATTCGCTTATTTCAGCCTAGTTCTTTTTATGCATCTCGTTTTTATCAAGCATCGTTTCTGGAAATATAAGCGAATTGACTCCCATATGTATAAATTAAAAAATTAAACCTGATCGTCAAGTTGTTATTGGGAATTTTTCAGGTAACACCGATCCTGAAATGTGGCACAGTGCTCCAGGACCAGAAAGTATTCGCAGTCGGGCAATAATGGCCAAACGATTGTCGATGACATCATTAAATTCGTTGACATCTATTGATCTAACACCTAGTCATGAGGGTATAATAACTATTAGCTTGATCTGAAGAAAAATTTCTCTATGACATACATTTTATGACTAAAAGATAATGACAGGTCGGTTCTCGTTATTAAATATCGTTTCAATATGGCGCTTTTGACAACAAAAAAGAATCACATCGAGAACGTTATAACTGTATTTCGAACTGTGATAATCAATTTATAACAGACAAATTCGAAATGAAATACTAATTCCATTATTTATTGATTTTCAAATTTAAATTATTGAAAAAAAAGGAGTAACAACTGCATTAATTGAAAAATGTTTTAGTGTCGATGTCTACCGCAAATAAAAATCCCTCATGTAAATTGGCAGCGGACCTCCTAAATATGTACCTCAACAATATTGATACAGATGTTATTATCAAGACTGATAATGGAGAATTATTCGCGCATCGGTTTGTCGATATTTGTAACAGTTCCAGTTGATAGCTTCATATTTATCAGCTAACACTTATCAGCCAATCCAACTTGTTATATATCCCTAACTTATCGAAAATCTCCCTTCTATTTTAAAAATTCCATTAAAACTGTCGAGAATTTATTCTACTTTTTTTTATGAAAATTGATCTTTTTTTAAATGATCTTATCTACAATCCAGGTGTATTTTATCAGCCACTTGTCCATATTTCAAAGATCATTTAGTGAATCGACAATATGAATACATCGAATTGAAAGGGTAAGCTGTTAATTAATTTGTTAAATTCATTAATTAATGAAAACAAGGAGGAAGAGCATGGAGTAGCTTGTAATAGCAGGTGTATTATTGATGGAAACAATGAGATGGCTAAATAAATGTTACTTAAACTAATTAATAAGTAAATTTCTTAAATGCTCAATATCAATTATTAAATGATAGCAAGGAATGATTAAAAGATAAATGAATAAATGAATGTCAAATACTTAAGTAACCGCCGGTTAACTGTTAAATAGACTGACCAAAAAATGGTCCTATAAGTTGCTCACAAGCAGGACATTTGTTTGCCAAGATTAATTAATTGATTTTGTAAATCAAGGTATTCTCGAACTGCAGTTCATTACTTCATATCATTTCTATACGGTGGCTTAACATCAATCGGTGAGGACGTAGATGTCTGGGAACTTGTTTCATTAGCCACTCATTTGAACATGGAAAGTCTTACTCAAGTGATCATACTTCACTTCCGAGCTACAAAATGTCATTTCTTTCATCGGGTCGGTTTTATTGTGATGATCTATATGCTAAAAAGGAGAGAAATTTGTATATTGGAAATTGATTAAAGATAATTGCAATTAGTCTTTATCGTTCTCTCCACAATTTTCTGAGGAAATTTCGGCGGACGATATAGGAAAAGGCGAAAAATTAAAAATTAAAAATTGAAAATTTAAAAAATTAAAAATGCAAAAACTGAAATAATGTATTTGCAGCCATGTGCTACCTGTGTATCGGCGGTATTTGACGCTCTCCCACAATTCAATGCGATACGTTCTTTACAACCCCTCTACAAAGAGGTCACAATGGTTTATTTATCTCTTTTTTTTTTTGCATATTAAATGAATTCTTTTCAAAATGTTCTCTTTAGGCTCTGTCCTGGCAAGCGAAACATTTTTCACGAATTTGGAAGAGTCGTGTATTCATGCATTTGAATCCACATTGGCAGAAAGAATGTTTTGAAACTATTGTTCAGGATGTTGTAAGCGATTCTTTTCTTTTCAAATTCAAATTTAAAAAATCAGCTTCAACTAAATTGGAAGATTAAGGGTCAAAATGAGGTCAAGCAATTGTGGAGAGTTAATAATATGACAAAGTAGATTTTACCATAACTGAGTACAACAAAAATTTCGATTTCTTAAAAACTATAATTGAAATTTTTTAAAAATAATTTACAAATTCAGGACGAGGAATCGTTGATAGACGTATTGTTAGGTTGTCAAAGACTTCAGGTCTGTCGATTCCTTTTGCTTTAATTTCAAGTAACTGTTTTACATTTTTCATTATTCCTTCTTTGATAATTTACAATAAATTATAATTAAGTCTTCTGGAAAAAGATGCTATTACTGTTAATTAATTACTTACCTCTTTGATCAGGTATCACTGCCACGATTGAAATCCGGTGCTGGAGTTGCAGCAGCAGTTCTATGTCTAGTGAATGATCTTATTGAATATATTCAGGAGTTCCTACTGCAATCGTTCGATCTTGTGATTGCATCACAATCTTTTAAAGCGCAGGGTAAAGTAAGTATGCAACGTCGATTGCATTTAATTCTGAAAAAAAAAAGAGTTTGAAAATTTCAAAAAAAAAGAAAGATTCTTGAAATATATTTGTTTGTAAATTAAAAATTAAAAACATTTTTTACAAATATTTTGAAAAATGAAAAATTAAATTTAAAAAAAATTCGAAGTAACTTTTATTTAAGCTTCTTTATACTGAAGTTTATAGGGTTTGGCACTGAATTTGATAGTATTAGAGGATATATTTCCGCCAATGGTGCACACACTATCAGCTGATATTGCGATACAAACGTATCTTAACCTTAGTGATTTGCTAAAAACCATTGCCAGTCAACAATCAGCAAATAAAAATCTTTTACGGCAAATAGATCACAATGAATGGAATCCAGTAAGTTACTAATATCGTTGCATTCGTTTTAAAACAGCACAATCTAATTATCAATGATACATTGGGATTTGACATTTATTTCCATTTTTTTGCATAATTTAAGTTTCATTCTTTACTAGAAACTTCTTTCCTCAGTATTTCTACCTCTCAATAAACTCAGGATATCTATTAATCATAATCTATATCGAATATTACGCGGATAATTATCATATGATTGCGATTCAGGCCTAAAACAGAAAACTTCCGATGGGTAAAGCAGGGAAGATGAGAGTTGTCGAAGTAGAGTAAGGTCTCAGGCCTCTTTTATATTAGATAATAAAGCCTTAAGCCTATCCTCCTCCTTTAAATATTTTAATTGCAGCGATTCATAGCACTGGTTCGACGATTATATGACTTAACCGATAAGCATTTGCTACATTATGCGGCATCTGTTGTAAAGGCTAAGACATGGAATCTGTTGAGTGTGGAGGATCAGTGTCGCATACAGGAATGTTAGTTTCTTTTTCAGTCGCTTGTGCTGATATTTTCCATCTTTACCTTAAAAGTTTCAAATAGAAATATATAACTCGTAAAGAAACAGAATGCATGAAATAACTGATGTTGTTATTATTGTTGTTGCAGGTGGTCTGTTTGTGGAAATGAGTAAAGCCAGAGCTCCACCACCCAAACTTTCCAGCTTAAGCAGGGTATGTTGATAGGACAATGTCCATTAGTAAGGATATCTGCTAATGATCGATCTATTTTGAATACTTGGTAAATTTGAATTCTTTATAGATATACAAACGATCGTCCAGTGCTGGTGTAGCAGCAATAAACGCTGCCAATTATAAGGAGAGGACGCGATCGTTAGATCGATCACGACCATTTTCCTTCTGTGAAAAGGTAACTGATTACAATTAACCTTTCTGATTAATCTAATTCAAGAGATAACTTTTAATGCATTGATTGATACAGGTAGTGGAGGAACACGAACCGCACGAACCGCAATATATCATCGATCCCATGGAGGATAACGTTATCCATTCATTCATTTATTATGATAAGATTGCACTTTCGACGATTTCATATCAGTCAGTTCTCTAGACAATCGTTTGTGTTTTAGATCCACAGAAGAACTCATAGTGTAAAGGAACGCAGTAGCCATTCAACACCACGTCAAGTGGACCGAAAACTGGGTTTGAATTCGGGTAAAACGAAGATTCCGCGCCGTAAAGAGCGGAATGCGGAGAAAAAACAAATACTGGAACAGATTCGATAAGTAATTCGGCGAAAAATGAAAAGCAGCATGAAGATGGCAATCTTAAGGTCCATTAATTATCTGCTGTATGGGATAAGTTCAATTCTTATGTGTTCCTATTCAGAATCATTGTTATCCATAATCTTTACTGCTTCCACATATCCGGAATGACCGTGTAGTTCAAATTTTGCTTAGTAATTTTGTGAAAATTCATTATACATCATTTTACTTTTTTCACTTCAAAAATTTCATTCCCAACAAAAAATCTTTTGGTAGTCTTTTGAACGGCAAAAAACGCATACAGTAATCGCAACAATGCGAAATCAAATGGATTTGCCAAATATCGAAACAGCGTCACAACTAACGCCTGAAAAGGTCAGTTTTTGATTGTTTCTTGCCATTTACCTCCAAATTAAATTAATTAACTAAGTTCTAAAATTCTTTGTTAACAACTGTTCATTGTTAGCGTCGTCATTACCGATTCATACCAATTGTGCAAAGGCTGGGCCAATTCCTCAGGTTAGATACATTCCAAAAAAAATGTTAATGGTTGGTGGTGTTATCCCCTGACAATTTCATTTAATTATCTAGCATAACTGAATGAAGATTATTACAGATGAGGAATAAGCCAAAGTCAGTAGTGAGGCCCATATTGAAGCAAAGCCAAACCCAGATCACATCAGAATCAGTGACAAGGGGAGCCAGTGGTACTTCAGCTCTTGGAGGACAGGTTAATTTCCATTTCATAACAAATTCGACTAATTTATTGGTTGGAGAAAAAAGACCAATAAATTAAAAATTACGTTGCCAAAATTTTCTGTTTTAGAATAAAGCGAAACATGCAAGAGATAATTCGGAATCACCGGCAGATGTCTCACACAAAACAATGAAACCCGTTGTTAAGCTACCTCTATCATCAACGTTATCAAAAGTGCCATCTGTGCATATCCGTGCTGGAATTCTAGGCGCAATAACTTCAGCGCCTGATGATTCTTCGATCCCAACTGAGAAATTAAAGCGCCATCACAGCAGTTTTTCAAAAAAGGCATTTTTTTCTCGAAATATTTAAAGTATCGAATGTCTTCTAAATATTCGAAAAATTAATTTCGAGAAATATCCTGCTTTGATCTCTTCGAATAACAGAAACTGCCAACAGTTTATAGAGATAATAAAGGAGAACATGAAACTGAAGGAAACGGAAGATATGAACGTTTGTATTAACAAACGAATAATGCTAAAACTGCATTTAATTTTAATGACTCATCCTTAATTATCGGAAAATATGTGGTACTTAAAGAAGAAAGCCGCTGAGAATTTCAGAGATAGTCTTATTAAATCATTATTTAACAGGAACAATCCAAATCACATCAACGGCATCAACAAAGACCGCAATAAAGATCGATGAATTTACCGGATAGTCTGAGTGTTCCCTCAAAATATCACTTCACAAATGCAGGGATAATCTATGAATAGTGTGATCACTTATTGATAATTCTTATGCAATGCTAAATATGTCTTCTAAATAAATAATTCTGCTTGTGTTGGCTCTCATAAACTGTTGCAATAGACAGTGGTGTTGATATAAGCATATTATATTTTATGAGATGATCGATATCTTTTGAAATTAACATTTAAGAATAGTCAGGTTAAGATGGGTTAAAATCAATCAAATGAGATCAATGAATGGGATGAAGAAATTAGCTCGTTCGATAAGTTATATGATTCCTACAGAATGGATATGATCAAATAAGCAGTCATTGTTTTGATAAATCTAAAAAACACATTTGTGTACTATTGAGTGCTATATAAGAACAAATTTAGAATGGAGATGCGTGTCACATTGTCAAACGTACATTAGGCGTTCATTATTGAAACTGTTATTAAGCTTTACATAATGCTGATTTCCTTGAACATTATTGAAATTAAAGACTAATGACTAATTTCTCAGCAGTCCCAAAAATCTGCCGAAAAAAAAACCTCCACAATTTATATATTTTGGGAAACTGCTGAAACCCATTTTGTCACTTACGATTGAATTTAACTTTACTGAAAGAGCAAAATTCAAATATTTCAGATCCTGTTATGACCATATTTCAGTGTTATCATTGGTCATTTGTTGATCACTTCTGTCACAATAATTAAATATGCTCATTATCTTTGATGAAGCATTCTTCGTTTTCTGCAGCATTCATATTCATCAGGTCAAGGTTAACACTAAATGAAGAGTTCAGATGGACCGGAACTGTTATCAATTATCATTTCTGTCGTAAAACATTATCATTATCCTTTGATGGAAGCGAATTCGCACTTTTCAAATGAGGCGAACAATGCAAGCTTGCTCATTATTTGCACTCTTGAAATGAGTGAATGAGTCATAGTCATTATATTGGGTAGGTCATTGGTTTTCTCGAATTTCCTCCTTATGCTCTTGGAATGTGAAGCATTTAATGTCGCCCATTCTGCTCGTTTCTGTGCTTTTAAGTTCACTTTTGATTGAATTAAGCATTTCTGTTCTTTTTTCGCACCACGTCAAATTTCATTCAAGCCAATTATCAAAGCATTGCAAAGCGGTAATGCTTGGCATAAACTTCAGTTTCATTATCTTTTGCTAGATGGAGGGAAGAAAACATCCATCGATTATGCAAGTCAACAAACATCTATCCATTGAGCAGACAGGTGATATTCATAATGGCCAGATGACAGGCGCATTTTACCTACAATTTCACTTCATATTTTCACTACTATCATCTTCTCTCCCTTTCAGTTATCTCATACTTGCTCCTCAAATTCACTATGTTTTATTCTATCTTGAAATCACGTAATAGAATTGCTGAAAAGTTCTGATATTAGCCACGTAACAGTGATGCAATAGATTGTTGAAGCCTATCTCTATGGAATTATTCTGTTAATTAAATTTTTTAAAATTTGAACAAATGTTCAATTTCTACATATTTTCCCATTTCACTATTTGGGTTAGCTGTTAAATAATAAACTGAATTTCTTTTCTCCTCCCATTTCGATTAGAGTAATTATAAATTCGGTGAAGGAGAAAATTGTTTCCCATTGTTCACTTTGTTGTAATTCAGCGGGAAGCAAAGCGTATGGACAATCTGCGCCTAGCGGAGTCATCCAATGCAGCATTACTATCTTGTCCAAACATACACACGCTATCTATCGCCCATTTAATATTTTCACCCCTTCCACCAGCCAGTTTCAACGATGACAAATCATCCATCCATCCGCTAAGATTGTGTCATCTTTTTTGCTTCTTTTTTTTTTTTTGAAATTTATTGATGGACGCGACATTTTTTGTTTTTATTTATCACGTTGTAATTGTTTCTAGAGATTTCTCTAAATTTACAACTAATAATGATTAACTAATTAGTAGGTATTTTCAAATAGGAAAATGGAAAAAAAAATGTGATAAATTATAAATATAAAAATCTCTCTTGTTAATTTTACTAAAACTTTTCATATTATCTATAAAACCTTTCTTACTAATTATTAAAGAAAGTTACTTACTATTTAATAACACATACTTAATGCAAATGATATTTCAGATCTTAAGTTATTTAATAATATTCTGATACTTCTACCTTATTGTTCTTAATCCCATCATTTGAACATTTTAAAACTTTGCAATTCTTTTCTGATTCTGATTACATTCATTGGTCTCTTTTCCACATATGTGTCTTTCACATTTGGATATTTCATCATAGTGCAAGATGGAACATTTCTTAAAAGTTTGAAAAACTAGCCAAGAAAATGTTATCGTTTGTTGGCCCATTAAAGTCAAAGAACAAAAAAAAAAAGGAAATACTTTGATAAATGCATTGTGAGTCTTCCTTTATGCGGTCGTAAAACCATATATTCATCAATCCACTGGATGGATCCTAGCGAATACAATTTAATTAAATTCAAAAATTGTCTTCAGATTGTTTTTAAAAATCCTCATCAAACATGTAACTATGATTTGAGGAAAATGTTAACAGTTTCAAGATAACCAAATTCCTTTTTGAAATTCGCTTCCTGATGTGTCACATCATTAATTATATCGCATACTTTTACATCTTTATGAAATCGTCCGTTACAAGATGTCTCTTGTCTGTCTCTCTCTTTGCCTTCTAAAACAACCACTGATAAAGCAAATAGCAAAAATGGATAGAACATCCAGGAAAAAAAGCCTAATTTAGAGTTTGAATTACACCTCTCAAAAGTAGTAATTTAGTTTGTGCTATTTACAAAATCGATTCTAATATTAATAAGGATTAAGAGAGGGGAAGTTAATCTTTAGTTTGGAATGTTGAAAATGTCATCATGCCTGCATATGTAAAATCGAAATGTTACATAATCATGGTCCATTTTTTTGGAATGTCCAAAAATGGTCCATTTTTTGTTCATTGTAGCCTGATGACTCACTCATATTGACCTCTTTTTCTTCTTGGCCAATATCATGCCTAAAATATGCATCATATTACAATCTTTATGATTATGTAACATTTCGATTTTACATATGCAAACATTACGATTGGATAGATTGGAGAAGTTCATTTATGTTTGAAAATCAGTTGACAGGAATAGATGCTAGAAGCTCGAACTTGCTATCACATTGAAAGGAAAGGGAAAATTTATTTCGCTAAGAATTTAAGCTCTGAATATGATAGCTTTCCATTTATGCCTATTTTTCCTTCATCATTTCATCCCACTTCACTTTTTATCTCATTCCATTTACCACATGTATTTCTCTTAATGACTTTTATTATCATTTTCCTAAGGGATCGATGATATCTAATCTCATTTCCATTTAGTGTTTATGTTTTCATCAACTTATCAAGAAGGGTAGAAGTTTCTTATCTACTCTTTATTTACTACGTTTCTCCAGTCTTTTCATTGAGATTAAAATAGGGTTTTAAAGAATTGAACAAAATTGTTTTTTAAATAAATGATATATGGGAAATTTTTTGCGTATTACTGTAGCCTTAGTTGTTATCCTGAAAATAGACGAAAGGTTAAAATAACTATTGAGAATTGTAAATTAAAAGAAATTACTTTCAATGGCTGGAATATTTTAAGAAATGAAGCCTTAGCATACTGTAAGACAAGCAGCGTAATGCTAAATATCTCAAGTATGTTTGCAATAAACTGCACAAAGTGTTACTTTTAAGGTAAACGAGACTTTGTTGCGCCTTTTATTTTATTTGCTATTTTTTCTTTTTAAACCATTTGAAAAATGATTGATGTATTTGCAGGAAGCGCTAATTATAATGTGATTTAAATAAAATTGTGAAAATGAACAAGAAGAGAAGAACTAAAATGATGAGAGAAATTAAAGAAAGATAAGTAATGAAGTAAATTGCCTCACTTATTTTCATTACCTTCATTTTAAGCCATAGATTGTTAAGCATCTAAAGTTTTCATTAGTACAATATTTAAGCATAACACCATATGACTTGTTATTAGAATTGGTTTTAACATGATAAACAAAGCAAGATAATGATGCAAACAGCTGATATGTAGAATTGAAGCGTTGTCATTTAATTGAAAGAAAAGTGCCAATATTATGATCCGAAGTTATTAGGTAATTGAGCTATTGGCTGGTTGGTCGTCATCAGTATATTGAAAATAATCTATTCAAATAATAAAACTAATCGATATTTCGTGAATTTGTACAACTTTCATTGTTTTCTAATTGATGCAGTTTTTTTTCTTTTCGTTTTTTGTAGACATAACACTTGCGCATTTCTTGGTACGACGAATTTCAAGAAAGGAATGAGAAACGATGGGACTTTTCCCTCTTCCAACTTTTTCCAGATGTGAGGTAGGCATCTTTCATCTTTTTATATTGAAAGTTTCCATTTCATCAAAATTCCCTTGTCAAAATTTATTAATTTCTATAAATAAAATTTTCATAAATCTGTTTGTTGTTCCAACGATTGTGTCACTTTTTCCTATCTGTTATAAACGTTTCTATTACGGCTAATTGATTACTTTTCCGCTTAATTTGCTTACTAAGCTTCTCGAATAAACTTCGAGGGAAAGAAAATGTCCTTCATCATGAATCATTAAATATCTATTAAAATTTGCAGTGAAACATAGGACACCATTTCACTAACCATTTCACTTTCTCTTCAAACGGCCATTCATACAGTCGATAGGCAGATATTCTGTCCTTCTTCTTTTTTTCGAAAATTTAACCTCTTCTTTTTGTTCATCAGAATATTCCCGCAATGTCTTCCCTGTATTAAATGGAAATTTCTTGAAACCTGAAAACTTATTGGGTTTTCTCACTTCGATTTCTTAATTCAATTAATATTAAGTAGAAAAAAAAAAATCAACTTCTTCATTCGTTTTCATTTCTCTCTTCAACCTATGCATATTGTTTTAGCATTAATCCATATTAGTTAAAATTAAGGAATTTAAATAAAAGACTTTGGTTTTATGTTACTGCTACTCCCAATTCACTTATTTTTTCCCCTACTTCTCTTACTTTTTTTTTGGACTTTCTTTACTTTATACATTTTTTTTCAAATTCAAAAAATGGAATAAATGTAGAATTTAAGAAACTGAGGATTCTGAAAAAAAAATTAAGAATTTAATCAAGTTCGAAATGAGAATGAGAAAGACGAAGCCCTAAAGAATTAAAGTTCTCACTTCTCGAAGAAGCGCCAAAATATCAAAGTTTTCATTATCTAAACCTCTGACTAAAACTAACTTCAAATCTTTGCTTTCTGTAACTTATACGAAAACTTACTTCTTATTCTGAGTTTTCCTTCTCTTGAAATTAACAACAATAAGCCAGTTTCTATCAGTAATAATAAACAAGCTTGATATTATTATCAGGAATATATGTTACAGTTTAGTTCAAACTAAAACTATGCTTGATTATAATTGGAAGTTGAAAAATCGAAATTAAAATTCTAAAAGATTTTAATTTAAATAAGGACAAAATGATCGAACAAATTCATGTTTTTTACTTGACACTAATGAAAAGAAGACATCTGGGAGTTGTAGAGTGGACAAGGGTGGGCGGTCGGCCAATCCATTAGTAGTCAATTTCAGTGTGCAAATCTCTTTGCAAATTTGAGCAGAGTCCTGAAAATTAAAAAAGATCTCTAATTTCATCACCTATATTCACCGTAATTCCTCCCTTAGTTTGAAAATGTTTTAACACAACTAGTTACGAAAATAGCTCGTCTAAGATGCAACGCCTTCCTTAGGAAATGTGATAACTGAAATAAGTATTACTTACGTATATCTGATAAGACTCTGGTACCACGTCTTGCACCATTTACTCCACTTATCTTTGATTTATCCCACTTTCAGATTTTCAGTTTGTATATATCCACTGTTTATTGGTGCTAAGATAATACTAGAAGCCCGTGATACCCTAATTCTTGATCCGATACATTCCATTCTTCCGGATCTACCACTGTTTGGACTCATTAACTCATTAAGACCGATCGCTTGCCGTTTCCTGATCAGTAATTCCATTCACAATTATCTCTCCAATAAAAGAAGAAACTACTCCAACAATTTTATCGCGACTAGCTACAGTATACTTGGGTGTACTGTAAGTCCAAGTATATTGTAAATATAAAGTTACTTCATTAATATGACATACTATAAAGACAAGATTATCTTCTCGCATATATGGAAATGGAGTATATGGTTCATATATTTGGCAAAGATTAATACCTTTAGTACCGATATTTTTTTTAAATGAATACGGAAAACCGGAACATTTTTGAATAAAGAGTAGACTATTGCATCTGCGGTCTGAAACAGTGTAAAATATTGCCTGGGTAAGTTGAAGCAATACCGTATAATACAGTATGGAATAAGCGAAGTGCATGTGAAATTATGAATTAGAGTGGATATGTATTTGTCACATAACATGAACTTAATTTGGGATAAGCTTACAAAAATGTAAGGTATATATACGTGCAGTATTACGTGCTTATGATTTTTTTTGGTAATTTTATTAAAGTTATGTATAAGCAGACCATGATTTACCGTTAACTCTAAATTTATGCAAATTTTGTCACCCCAAAAGGGAAACTCACGAAGATTGTATTTTGTGCTCTACCTGAAGAAGCGCGATGAGTAAGAGGTATTGTATAGAGTTAGGTAAGTACAGAGAATTTACCTAGATAATCATCATCACCTACGTGTTACCTAAGTACTTAGATAAATTCCGTTCTCGTTGACCACTCTTTCATACCTGCGTTGAGAATATTATGGTAATCATTCACACCAATATCTTGGCTCTTCAAATGAAACTGATAAACCAACAGATAGATAGTCTATCTTTTCTAAATATCCTTTCTCGGACATGTCTCCTTTCCGTCCTGGTTTGTTTAGAGATCAATGGATAATATATCGGATCATCTCAACGAGAATAGCAACCAGAAGATCAGCTTATCAGAAGATTTCGTAACGGCAGAAATTCCACTGAATGTTACTGACGATCATGTTGAAGCTGAGGTTGCATTACGAACGAAAGATGATGATTACCATGAAGGCGTTTCATTACTTTTATCTATCGATGACACCATCAAAGGTTACCATTAACATGGATGATTCATAAAGACCATAGTATCTTGCCATTAACTGTCCATCGGAGAATGGTCAGCTTTAAATGGTTTCCATTTTTTGAATGACAAACTAGTTCAGAAAGTTTGGTTTAATTTCAAATTTATACTACTTCAAATATACATAAATTTTGAGATTCTGTTTCATTTTTTATCAAATTTATGGACGAAATATGAAAGATACTTCATTGGGATACGAGAATGACTATGGATACTATCGATGTATAACTGAAGTCATTAATTAAATCGGAACGATTTAACACCGTTCTAGTGTTTCACAGTTTTGGCTTACTTGTACATCTAATGTTCATTTCTTTATCTTACATCAAAATAAAGCCATCTCTTCAATTCTTATATTTAATTTATGTGTAGACCAGTTACTTATAGAATTATTTATATCAGATGAGGAAGCATCTTCAGCGAATGATGATGAAATTAAGCCAAGCATGGGACATACAAATTTGGAGCTTTTCGAGGATACAGCAGCTGAGCTATTCTCTCAGTACTTGAAGGTTTTCACCCAACCTCAGGCACTTGAAAGATCTGGGAAGGTATGTTCACTGAATTGAACTAATTCACCGATCTAAAAAAAATAGTTCTTTATTTAATTGTTGAACTCGAACCACCATTCAAAATTGAATCAGAATATGAATTAAGCAACAATCGTTCATTTTTTGTCACTTCAAGTATCTCTTAGAGGATATCAATCTATCTATATTTGACATCGTATCTTCTTCCACTGCTCTAGTGTTACTAATGTTATGGTATACGAAAATTACTTGCATTTGAAATAAAACTTCTGTAAAAGTGAAACATTTTCAGTCGGCAAATTTGGGTACATTATTCGGTGTATATTTGCCAACAGTTCAGCATATCTTGGGTGTAACCATGTTTATACGTCTTTTCTGGGTTGTTGGAATTGCTGGCATATCACAAGCTTCTCTACTTCTTGCACTCTGTTGTTTAACTGTATGTTTTTTTTCCTTTTTCATATTGATTCTGATCATCAGTTAAGCTTTGCTTGTAAAGCTGAGGGAGGTAAAATTATTCAACTACCCTTTCTCCATTTATCAAATAATATTTATTATTCATGGGTAATTAGTTACTGATTATTATATTAACTATAAATGTAATCCGCCGTTACCGCAATTTCGCTGTACTAATTTCTGAGAAAACTTTTCCACTCCTTTTCATAAGACACCATTAGTGATCATCGCAATGTTCACTGAAGTTTTGGGTAATGTTTAATTCTGTGAAAGATTTACCAATGTTCGCTCTAGACTTTCATCACCAGTATCAGTTTATCAGCAATAGCTACAAATGGAGAAATCAAGAGCGGTGGTGCCTATTATATGTTGTCGAGAAATCTTGGGACAGAATTTGGTACAGCCATAGGCATATTGTTCTATTTGGGAAATGCAGTTGCCGCATCTATGTATTTAGTCGGTGGAGTGGAAATTTTATTGGTATGTATTATCATATTTTGCCAACAGTGTTCTGAGCATAGTTATTAACTCCGAGATAATTTTATGGATTTTTTTCGACTCATCACTCAAAAATTTCATCCATCTTTCAGATTTACATTTTTCCTGATCTTACCATTGGCGGCAGAGAAGTGCAGTCACAGACAGGTTGAACATTCAAAAGTTTTCTGTTTCATTTCTAATGTTGCTGACTACTAATAGTATGGACGGATGATGTAGATGCTAGTCTTATTTCATTTCCAATACTCTGTGGTACATTTCTTAGCATACTCAAAAATCGCAGATAGATAGATATTCAACTTGGGAGGCATCACTAAAAAAATCGGAACTCAGTATATCACTTATTTCATGAACAGTAATTTTACTGCCCAATGTTCATCCTTCTATAATTTTACGATACATTTTTAATTTCATTAAACTTAGCATAAAATATGGAAGTTTTATGAACACCAAGTTATTATTAGTATAATTTACTATCTGCAGACATGTTTGGTATGATGTCGCATAACTTACGAATATACGCTACATTATTATTATTGCTTGAATTTGTTGTTGTAGCAATGGGTGTACGATTTGTGCAGCTTTTTGCACCGGTACGCTTGTAATTTTCATACTCATTAGAGTGAAACGTTGAGTTTTGCAAATTTCCTTGATAATGTCATTACTTTAATTCTTATTCCCTTACCTTCAGATCTCACTTTTATGTGTTATTTTATCGATATTATCCTGTATTGCTGGTGGAATCGAAAAATCAATCAGTCCAGAGAATGGGCAAAGGTGTGAAAATTTTCTTTTTTATTACTAACGAGGAATAATTTAAATCTCGTAACATCTATTCATCGATAATTCCTGAAATTAAAGTTAATCTTATGACGAACCGAGAAAGAATTAGGCATGTACAAATGACGTTTATCTTTCGCTTCAGGGTATGCAAAATAGGTGACCATTTATTGCAAGCACAAGTATTCATGCCGCAAAATATCTCAGTTGTGGACATTTGCAAGTACTGCAATGAAAAATATGTGTTAGTTCTTAATAATTGTAGGAAATCGTGTATTCTTGATCAGCAACTAAAAGTATAACCTGAAGGTTCCAAATTTTCCATGAATTTATATGATTTGTTGTCTAATGACAGCTGGTGAAATTTGGAGGTGCCAATTTCTGATCACGAGAGATTAATTGACTGGGAGCAAAGAAAGTCGGGTCATTCTAAATCAGCATGGGTTAGCTCCTGCACTGAAAATTAGCGGTCATTGTAATATTTTCAGCTCAGAGAAATTACCTTATGTTAGATAGGAATTACCTTATATCAGACATGATTTTGAAGTTTCAATTTTAAGTAATTTTAGATCAAAATAGTGATATTAACATTGCATTTTCTTGGCCAGCGAAATTTTGTTGAAGTAATATTCAAATATGTTTACATGCATTATAAACTATGGATTTTCATTTTCAGAAGTAGGACTGTTACAGAATACTGCAGTAATGGGACATGTTTTTTACCTATTAAATGCGTGAATGGTTATCCTGGTTTTATTGGCGGTGTTCTAAAAGGTCCTATTCTGTTTCAAATTCTTGTTCCATTCAATTTGATGGTAGTTCTGAATAATTTCTTCAATTTTTTAATAGATGTTTGAATTTAAACTTCATTTTAGTCTCTTTATCAATTATAATTTTTGACTCGGATTTGCAGAAAACTTGAAAGCAACTCATTATATGAAAGCTGGTGAATACAAACCTGGAAAGGCAGCAAATACCCATGCAGAAGTGTACCAAGAAATGCAGACTACATTCTTCGTATTACTGGCTATTTATTTCCCGGCAGTTACTGGAATTTTAACAGGAGCTAACATGAGCGGTACTGTTGTCTTTTATTTCCTAAAATATATTGGCCAGCAACAAAAGAAGGAGATTATTTTGGGACTTTATATTTTCATTTACCTCAGTGACTTCTGAAGGTAAAAACTTGATAAATCGAGTGAAATTTTAGGAGACCTCAAAAATGCCCAAAAATCAATACCGTCAGGTACATTGGGGGCGCAGTTGACCACTTCATTGATCTACTTTGCTCTTGCTTTAACTTTTGGTGCATCAATCGATGGAGATGTCTTACGGGACAAGTAAGTACATGCATATTATGTACAGTTCCATCTCTGTATAGTTATTTGTTTGATCTGTGGACACTAATTATGCTTATGCTGTAGCACTTAAATTCCAAACAAATTTTATGTTTGAAGATATGGAGCATCGATGGCAGGTAGTATGGTCGTAGCAAATTTGGCTTGGCCAAGTCACTGGATATTGTTAATCGGCTCGTTTACGTCGACATTTGGAGCTGCCCTTCAATGTTTATGCAGTAAGTATTCTCTTCTATGTATTTTCTTTCAGCACTTATGAATTTTAGATTCATTTTAAAATGATCATCGTCGTTATAACGTTGTTACTACTTTTTTTCAAAATTTTTTTCCGAAAAATGTTAATACTTCTTTCAAAAATTTTAGAAAAAAATTTTTTCTCTCAAAATTTCAACATGTTAACTTCCTCGGAATAATGTTCTTCCGCATAATTTAATGTATTAGAATGCTTATTTCCTTCCCAAAAAATTATTAAATACTTCGTAACGAATAATCGTTGTTGTCATATCATATCGATATTTTATCCTTTATTTTAGGCGCACCTCGTTTACTGCAGTGCATAGCACAAGACGAAGTGGTACCAGAGTTAAAGAGTTTTAGGAAATTGACGAAAAGAAATGAACCCTTCCATGGGTATGTACTAAATATTTTGTCGATTCATACAATCGAATTACAAAATGAGAGTCTTAATTGCATTGTGTACTTAATTTCTTGTATCGTATATAAAAGCTTACACCATTTATATCCTCAAAAAAAAGTTGCAATTCCTTTTCCACCGTATATGTGGTAGGACAAGGAATTCTGATTATTCATTAGTATGTCCAATCGTAACCAACTCTACGTTTAACGTTTCTGAACTGTTTCATCTTATATTAGAGTGCACACTTGTCCTACACAAATTTCCAGGTCATTGATTTCAACTGCTTTTTTAAAGTATGTAATTATGGGATAGCATACTTTTACACATAATTTTGAAAGCCCCTGTTACAGATTACTGATTACAACGTTTATTGCTGAATTAGCAATACTTCTTGGTGCAATGGATCATATTGCTGCTGTCGTTGATTTCTTCTTCTTGATGTGTTATGCATTTATTAATGTCATCTGTGCAATGCATTCTATTGTCAAGGCACCCAACTGGAGACCTCGTTATAGATATTATCACTGGTAAGTGCTTTGCTTTACGACTAGTCGGTTGGATAGTATCGAAGCATGACGGTACTCATTCCTTGTCCCTTTCATTTAATATTCAATCGGTCTTTTTCCTGCAATTGTTACTTATGAAAGTTTCATATAGGAATAAGCCTGCTTCACTCGGAGAAAATATTTAATTCAGGTCACTTGCTCTGCTTGGTGCATTTCTGTGCTTTTTCATCATGTTCACGACGCATTGGGACTATGCCATTGTTTCATGCCTTCTCTGTTTTTCACTTTACAAATATACGGAGTACAGAGGGTATCTTATATTATTTACTTCATTATTCAGTTTGAATCACTTCTCAGATACTTTCTCCGTAATAATATCATCATTTTTGTAAAAAAATATGGTCAAAAATATACCTCACTTTCCTTCGTACTTTTCCTGTAATCTTAGTGATAAAATCATTGAAGGAACAGATATATATATGTATCTTTGTTTATTAATCAGGAATTGAAGGCATAATTTAGAGCAAACAAAGAATGGGGTAATGGAATGCGGGCTGTGTCAATCTCAACTGCACAAAAAGCTTTGTTAACGATAGACGATAGCGAAGCATCACATCCAAAAGATTTCAGGTGATTACTTCAAACGCATACTTTTTTTTAGTTTTTCCTTGCTACCTTTTCTTCTTTTCCTTGTTACTATTCCCTGAAAACCCATCAAATCTTCTATACCTTATACTCTTCATGTGTTGTCATACTTGAAATATATCATATATTAAGGCCGCAGTTGCTACTTCTTTTTGCACTAAAATGGCAGGATGATCAGACTGATTTACGCTATAAGCGATTGCTTCATTTGGCGTCACAGCTGAAAGCGAGTCAAGGATTGTGCGTAGTCGTTGCATTCCTTTGTGGCAATCCTTTCGATGAAAATGATCGAAACAGTGCTAATGAGGTAAATCATTCGATCTCCTATTTTTGCTGGAATCCTTACTTTTTAAATTCATCAATTTTCCACTGTGTTTAATAAAAATATTTATATTTCGACAACAGCTGCTAATGTTTTTTTCTTCTCTTTTTTTTTTTTTAATATAAAAAGATATGGCAGTGCTGGGAATAATAATTTTCTTATGCAGAGCAATTATTTTTACTAGATACGAAAGCGATTAAAATATTATATGAAAGAAGCAAAGCTTCGTGGATTTGCGAAAACTCTTGTATATGGCGAATCTCAGGTATTACAAAACATTGTTTGAAATATGGATGATGGGAAAGGTGAAAAGGGCAGCAGTTTTTTAATCCATGTAATTAAAAATAATCTAGAGGATTTGTAAAGATTTTTTGTGCTTCAGATCTGTGGGAGTATTTCGACAGTTATCCAGAGTACTGGAGTCGGTGCTCTTTGTCCGAATACACTGCTATTGAAATGGCCGAAATATAGTTCAGACTGGCCCTCCGAACCACCAGATTCAGAATATTCAACATTTGTTGGTTAGTTTATTTTTGCAATTTCGAATAAGAATCGCTGCGGAATTACCTATAATTTTTTCCCTTATTTGCTTTGCATATCATCTGAAAATTTTATATTTGTTTGTAAGAAAAATCATGCAACCGTGTATAGCTTGCAGTTGTTCGCTTTCAGAACAAATGCTTTGCGAACAAATCTGAACTTCAAGTTACTTATTATCGTTTCGATGAGGAATATTTAAATTTTGTAATAATATATCCGTATCTTGAGTCTTTTTGTTTTAATGAATGAACAATTTTAGACAAATTACATGCTGGATATGTCATGAAAATGTGTCTCCTCGTAGCAAAAGAAATATCACATTTTCCCTACATAACTGAACCGGTAAAGGAAGGCTATGTCGATGCATACTGGATAATTCGTGATCGAGGCTTTCTTGGGTTAATAGCTCATTTATTACTGAATCACAAGGTTAGCGTTTTATTCAGGAGTCAAATAGAAGCTGGTGCAAACATAAGCTCACTTCTGGTTTGCTACAATATGTTGGACATTTTTACTAATAGACTAAAATGGAAATTTTTATTTAAAATTTCTTTTTGTACTAAATGTATCGAGCAATTCATTTGGAACGTTTACATAGAAAATGCTCTTCTTTCATTTAATCCACGACTTATCAATTGAGATAACACTTTCAGGTTTGGCGTGGATGCCAATTGCGTGTGATTGGTATTGCTCGTGATAGTGAAGAAAAGAAAGAGATGATTGGTAGGATTAATTTCTATTTGAAAGCGATGCGCATTGATGCTACTGTGCAGGTTTACTTTTTAAATACGTGAACTCATTATCACTGGAAGATTGATTAGGGCATTGATGTTGAAAAAAATAGGCGAAGGACAAATGAACGACAGTAAATGTTATCTTTAGGTGGACATACTGAGTGATCCTAATATATCACGGTCCGACTTTGAGCGGACGTTAATGATGGAAGAAAGGAGTCAAATGGCACGTGAGGCGAGAAGATTTGCGATGATGGAGAAAAACAGTAAACCGTTAATGGAGTCTGGTGACAAAACAAATGATGTCGATAACACTGAGGTTCCATTATTGTTTTTGCTATCTTAACCAAAGTAAATATTCATGATATTCTTAGTTAGTAATATAGAGATGAAGATAATTAGAGATAGAAAATCCTTAGAGCTTCTTCGTAATTTCGATAAAGGATATTTATGGAAAACAGACACTCCATCGGCAGTGGTGTAAAGTCTCATGCCTCATATGCTTTGTTTTTTTGTGCACTTGTAGCCTCTGAAAAAAAATCGTTTCTGTGTTGAAAAACATGCTGGCGATATCACCACAATCGATGTTGAAGAGAACGGTTATGGTAAAACCAATGAAGATCTCGTCACCGACGACGTTAATTTGGATTGTAATCATTATATTATTTTTATTTTTATTTTTAAAAATCTTCATTTCCTTCACAAGTTTAATGTAGGAAAAGAGCTGTAGAAATTTTGAAAGTGATTTACAGATTCTTCTGGGGAATCGTATCATTTTAGACCTCCTTTCTTACAGCTCTTATTTGGATCACCTTTTTTTTCCATATTACCCACTTTTTTATTGCCACATTCGTCTTATGAGATTTATTTCAGTAAATATAATGGAAAGTCAAAATGTTCAGACATTTCCGACAGAGACAGAATTAGGGTTTGTTTTCGAATTTTCAAGTTATCTGTGCAAGTTTTATCGCAATCACGCCATGTTGCTCTAATGCAGCTGTAGCACAGATAACTTGCTGCTGCTATCTGGATGCTTCGTTAATTCTGTTGAGGCTATTTATTACTCTCCAGGAGAAAAATTGTGAAGAAACTGCGAATACGTGATGAGGATATCAAATATGATAATGAAAGAATAAGGCGCCTGCAGAATTTAGACAGGCGAAAGGTTTTCATTCCCACTTTTATGATCGATTAATTTTTTTTTCCTTATCGTAAGTTGGCAGTCTGAACTTGGTCTTGATTCAAATTTGTGCTTCATTTGTGATAATCTAGATTATGTCTATCTATGCTTCATTTTTCCTCCATGTAATTTGTGATATAAAAGAAATTGCATTTGAAATTGTATTGTATGAAATTGTATTTTGAAACGAAACAAGGTGGAAAAGTTTTCCTTTTTGTTTGCAGATAAAACAGAATAACCGTATGATTAATATAAAAATTAACGAATGCTGTTTTCAGGTTCACAAAATGCACACAGCTACCCGTTTGAATGCTTTGTTTAGGAGGACATCCGAAAAAAGCCAACTGATATTACTTAATCTTCCAAAACCTCCCGAAGTGAAAGAAGGTTTAATATTTATCCAATTTATAACTATCATCGATACATTAAATCTTTCTAGTGGAAGTTTACTAGCATCTCAAATTTCATTGTACATTATCTTAATTTGTAGCAATACTAGATACACAAAATATAAGTTGTAGTATTTTTGTATTACTTTTATGGTTCCAACCGATTTTAAATCTGATTTCGTGAAAAAAAAACGATAGATTCTTTCCAAATGTTGTACAATTTGCATGAATTTATTATAAAATACTTCAAATTTTTAGGTTTCACAGATTATTTGCATTATTTAGAGGAGCTTACAGCAGGCTTACCGCGAGTCCTTTTTGTACGTGGAGCTGGAGCAGAAACTCTCACTTCAACTGCTTGATTTTTTATATGATTCTTTTTTTAATTTAAAATTGGCTGACTATCCAGCACTTCTTTATTGTATACTACAGTTACTACGTGTTGTGCAACTACGGTTTTTACTCGCTTAACTTTGTTTTATAACTAGCTAGCAATCAATGAATATATCCTGAAATGAAATAGGAGAAACTTACTATATCAAAAGAAAGTAAGGATTTGTGAATTCATTGAGCTAACTTCTATTATTGAATTAAGTGATTAATCACTGGAGAAATTACGATTCACACGCTAAAGTCGTTGGTAGGGTGAATATGGCCGGTACTATCTTGAGTCAGCTACTTTTCTATATTGAATTTATTTCTTCATTTTGCATAGTATTTATTGTTTCAGATTAATTTATTTAGTGATCAGTGGTGAAATTCGCCAACTGTTTAAATTTACAGAACTCCTTTTCCGAAATTTTTTTTGTTTCAGTTTATACCTTAAAGGACAAAATAGGTTTTCCGAAGCGGTGGACATGGTGGAAGTGATTGTTCTCCTATTAAGGCTTTTTTGTGATATTTTGGGTTACTACATTTCAAAATTATGGCAAATGGACAAAATTCAACTCGAACAGTATATTTTGATTGTAAGAAGTGATGCACCATTCACTTTCTTCGTGTTATTGCTGTTAATTGGATGCTTTATGGAAGAATACAAAAAATGTTTAATGGTATTCTTGCAATTTTTCACACTGATCTTAATACATTATTGATTAGTTTAGCTACTCAGGCAGAGAGTACATATGTACATATTTCTCAGTTCGTTCCTCAAATTTCTGATCTATCATTTATACCTTACTGACTGCTAATAACAATAACTACTCTAGAATTGTTGATAATACTATTGCATTAACCACCAAAAGCATTCAGAATCTTGATTCTGTTACATCCATATTCCTGCTAATTGAGTTGTTCTGGTTCAGTCACAACAAGGATCTTCGATTTTATTGTCCCTTATCTTCTTGAATTACTGATAAGAGTGGAAGAAACTTAAGCTCAAGGTTGAATGTCTAATAAGCTTAAGTGTAAGCTGAAGGAAGATAAAATATATCGAAGTAATCTTTGGAATGAAGAACAATATTTGTTGCAAAGAATTTCGATTGTGAATAGTAAAAGGACATAGAATTGATTACTGATATCTGTTATATCTTCATTAGGACAGAATATACGATCTCATGGAAAGCATAATGATGATATTTCTAGACGAGTCACATAACAACAAAAGGAAGTGATAAAAATGAATGCAAACCTGGGTGGGGCCTACGGTAGAAAACATGAAAACTGCATAATGAAGCGAGAAATAGTCATGTTGAAGCTAAATACGATGAAGTAATGAAAAGATCTGATAAGAGATCAATCAAATAGAATAAATTCTGTGAGAATTGAAACTAAAAGATGAGTCTGGAGTTGCTAATGTACATGGAAGAGCGCTGATTGCAGGTTACGATGATAGATTCAGATGCACCAAAAGATAATGATCATAATGACGACTGCTGAATCTCAACGCATTCATCTTCTGAAGCTAAGCTGAATTTCATTTTGTTTCAATTTGGAACATATGAAATTCCACTCCTTTCATTTTAGTCTTATAACTCTCAAATGATAAATTGATTTTTGTTTGGCGAATATATGCATTATTTGAAGCCAAAGTTCCTATCGAGCCAAATGAGCCACATGAGATAAAGTGCAAAGTGAGCCAACAAATTCCGAGTTAAGGATGATTTCCCTAAAGGATACGACTATTTAAACATTTTTAATTCAAGATAGAGGAAGATTTTTTGATGAATCCTCAAAACGAATTACAAAATCAGTTTTAGATATTTCTTGGTAAAGAATCCTCAAAGTATCTTGCTGCATTGTGGTTTTATTTCTCCAATACTCTCTTCTCATCCCATTTTATCTCTTAATTATAAATTGAATGGGGTTTTTTTTTTTTGAAAAAATAAGTGATAGATTCATATCCTGAATTTTAGTTTTGAAATAATGCATTTTCAGAAAAGAAAAGCCATTTTGTTAAAATTTAATTTTGAAATTCTACAATAAACAATTCAAAAAAAATTGAAATTTTCATTATTAGATGAAAGAAAGATAGCATTGAACATTTAGGAACGTCATTAACGCTTGCTTCCTTAATGAATTTCTTCCGCAGATGGTAGCTGACTGGTTGGCATTTCTTCTTTTGATAGTTTGGGCGTTGTATGTTGAAGTTTACCAGGTATATCATCGCAGTACAGTTCAGCGTGTTGTTCATGAGTAGCTGGTCGTCGTGGCTCAAAACCTACCGGAAGACGTAGACACTCGAAACATTTGCCGCGATGCTGTGACCAAATCTGGATAAACTGCGAATAAACATCTATTCCCGAATAAACACTTCCTTGCTCGATTTAGGAATTTTTTTTCTCGAATTTTCCTACTGTAAATAAAAATTTCCATACTTTTCGTGCCACTCGCTCTTTTTCCTTATCACTCTGTACATTGATAAATTTATCATCGTTGACTGCCTTTTGAAAAATACTGTAAATATAGATACCATCATCAGGTACCCGAGTGATACGTTCCGATCGAAATGTGCAATAGATTGTTGTCTTACAATGTGGCATCACGACACCAATATGAGGTGTTGCACCGAAAGCACGTCCACGTGGACATTCGACATTAAATATTACCGGCTGAAATTTTATGTTAGCATTCAAGAATGCAGAAAAAAATGAGTCAAGATTGTTTGCTAAGTTGAAATAGACTTCTTGAAAAGTTGCTAAAAGTTTAACCGGAATCACTTTTAAGGTAAGTAAAGCAGCTGCAAGATGCGCTTATGAATAAAAGTTGATTACATGAATGGGATTAGAAAATCTTCAAGTCTTCACTAGATAAAATAATTCTGGTTTTACTTTTATCAACTTACTATCCAAGCTCGAAGAAGTGTCCTTCCATTCAATGACATTAATTAATTAATTAGATTTGCTAGTTGAAGGAATTGAGTAAGGATGGAATAAACTTTGAAAAGTGAAAAAAAACAGCTAAAAACTATTTTGAATTAAAAACCGTAGAATGTGTATTTGTTAGTTGTAAATGATAGCATAAATGACTGTCTTCGAAGAAACCACACATTATGATCACTTTTTTGTCGCATTTCAGATATGATTTCTTATCATTTAAATTTCTGAAAATGATATTATATATTTTTACAATTTCTGCCACTGATTTTTATAAATGCCTCTTAATTTAATCACTATCACGGATCCTTATCTTATCATAACAATAGCAATGATCATCATTGAAATAGTCTGGTTACTGTTGATGACATCTTCGAAGTTTGGTTGATATTACAGGTAGCATAGTTGTAAAACTATTAGAAATAATCATTGATTACAGAAACCTCAGTTTTTGGAGTAACTCTGCAGTCGTGATCTCATAATTAAATCGCTGCTGATAATTCATTACTATTTGATCACCAACCGTTTGCTACCTCTAAATTACTGTTTAATGATGATTTTCCTTATTTCATTTACTATCTGTTTAGTATTAAAGTTAGTGTTTACAGGCCAATTAATAAACTTTTTTTTTTAATTTTGTATTTTCGATGGATTGATTACAATTTTACTTATTCATTTTTTGCACCTTTGATGACAAAAAGTTGGATGAATAAAATATGACGCATTGTCAAGAATGCAGTGAATTTTCCAGATGATTCCGGAAATTAAAAACAATCGAGCATCAGTTTTCTCCAGAGAGTTATTTAAATTTAAACTGTTTTAGAAAATTAAACATAAAAAAATAAACGTCTGAAATTATCTTTCTCATAAGGAATTGCTTGAAGCAAATGAAAGATATATTTTATTTCAAAGTTTACTATCGTTCATCAATTATTTTGACAAACATTATAACATTGGCTGATATGGAAATATAATGGAACAAGTTTTTTTTTTTATTTATATATATCTTTGCAAATATCAAGCAATTAATAATAACACATTTGTGCTGCAAATTTCAATTAAACCATCAAGTTTCCTGTCAAATCATTTGTGCTTACTACTAAAATAACATATTGTAGTAAGTAAGAAAATGTTATTTGCAGTGAGAATGGATGTTTGTTTACTTTCATCTCCCGTTCATGTCACATTTATTTCGTTTACCGAAAACTTCAAAATTGTCATTAACAGGTGTCATGTCATGCCACAGTCAAATGACTGAATACAATTTCCAGCACATACTTCCGATTGTTTTTTTTTCTTTTGATTGATTTTTTTTTCTTGATAAACGCATCACAAGATGATTATTCCTCATTTATTGAATTAAAAAAAAAAGAAGCTTTCTTATATTTTTCGATTTTTAAAAAAAGCCATAACACCATCGAAATGGCTGAATAAAACTTTCACTGTCTGTTATTTAGATATCATTTTTCAGTTGTCTTATCACTTTATCAGCTTATCATCCAAAAAAACGAAAGTATCTGATTGAAATAGATAAGTTAATAGTGAAGTTCTGTAACAAATACTACTTAAAGTGATGGAAGATTGTCGAAAATAAGTTCAAGTTAAAGTGAACTCTTTGAAGTAGCGAAACAGTCGTTGTTATTTTCAAACTTCTTTTATGGCCTATTAAGAAATGAATTTTATCAGTTCAGGTGATAAAATGAGGGGAATCAGCTCTATCAGAAACAAGCAAATGTGTTCTACATAGTTGGTCGACCAGATTGTTTGAATCTCTCAAACAGAACTATTTTGAGGATTAATAATTTTCTATGGTACACATAACTGATACTTCATGATAATCTGTTATCGAAAAATCCTGAAACATTTACTAGGAATTAATTTTCTCTGAAAAATCTCATATTCATGTTACAGAATAAATTGAAAGAAATACTGCAACATTTTAATCTATCTTCTAAGTTCTCGGTGATAAAAAGTTGACATGACATGTATTGTGTCACAATTATTCATTAATGACAGTAAAGTTGAAATTTTTATTAATTAGATTTTGTGGATGATAGTTAACCAAATAACTTTGGATACATCGAAAGTAAATAAGCTAATAATTGGGATGGAAAAACCTGTTTACCTATTTGACCATCTAGGATTAATGTTGCGAAAGTTTCCAACCTCGTCATTTTACTGGTCAGAGGACCCAGCTACCGTTGTCAATCATTATACGTGAAGTTATCTATCATGTGTAGATTATGTTTACACACTTATATAAAGTTGCATAATATCAATTAATGTACTACACTCACAGTTCTGACAATCGAAGTGAATTACGAGAAAATTTTCAAATGTCACAATCAGCAGGTTTGTCACATTTTAATGATGCCTTCATTTATTATATTTAATTGTATCCATTATGTGTCGCACTTGTCAGGTAACTTCTTGTGAAGAGCAAATGAAATTTTAATTTTTTCGTAATTTGAAAAATATAAGTGGATTTTGAGAAAGCCACTACCGTAGTAATTTTTGGAAAAAGTTTTCATTTTCGAATATCTGCAACTACCGTATGGGAGAATATCCTAATTATTGTAGAAGAGAAAATGAAAAATAAAATGAAAAATAAAACTGAAGAAGCCAGAAAGGCTAGCAGTGATATCAACACAGGTAATATTATCATTTACGATATGCTCTTAGCTCTTTCAGATTTTTTTTTCCGGTCTAATGCAAACATGGAATGGAAAGTTTGGAAATCAGCAAGTTAAAAATTAATCGATAATGATAATCAATTAATTGATAGTGAATTAACTCAACGGATCACTTTCAACATATTTGCCGCCGGAAATACCACAACAGAGGATTTCATTTGTTGTTTGTTTCAATGTCCTTGAAAATTGTTAATGTTTCACTTGTTATATGTTATTAAGTAAAAGAAATGGTATTTTTTGTTATAATTACATGAAAATATTATAAAATAATCAATTCAAAGTTTAAATCAAAAATTTCATTCGATAATTTTTTTTCATTTAATAATTAACAATTTCATTTAATAATCGTTTTCGGTTCGATCAAATTTATTTACACTTTTTCTGATATTTGTACATTCATTTAACAAAAGCAGCATCTTCCTTCTTCAGATCGTATTTTGTGCCTCAATAGTAAACCGACATCAGCGCTTATTTTTGGTCATTACTGCTGGATCGTAGTATCTGGGACTGAAGTTAAATTCATAAACTATTAATTTAGATATATTGTAAATAATCGTCCACTAGTAATTAATAATGTTCTTTAGCATAACTCTTTTAAATCTCATCTTGTTATAAAATTTTTTGCAAACTTTTTACGGTCACATCAATTTCATTTCAATTTAGTTGGAATGATCTTTTTGATATTATTAGCTTTACTTAGCTACAATTATTATGTTTGTAATATCAAACGTTCTGATCGATCCTTGGAAATATTTTTTCTTAATCTCTTTTAAACCTACTATTCTTTTCACTCATTTATTTGTAAAATTCTTCAACTATCCCTTAACCTTTAACCTTTCCTCACATCTCATTATCATTGCACTCACTCTGATTTACCATTTAATAAGCGTTATTTTGTGAAAGACAAAAATATTTCAGTCTGTCTTTGTTCTAGCATTATGAAAGTTAAAAATAAAAAACATACATATCTCGTTCTTTGCGATCTTCGCTCTCAAACTGTTTAATTTCTTCATCTTCTTCATCTTGCCTCTCTGCAGCTATTCAGAAAATGAATTCACAAAAAAAAAAGTTTGATTAAAAGAAGTGATCAGTGCTAATTTTATTAATCAATTTTATGGGTCCATTAATTAGCGACAGAAAAGTTATAGCAATAAGTAAACCATCCATTTGTTATTTTAAACTTTTTCTTGTAAAAAAGAAAAGCAAAGATTGCTGATTGTTTAAAGTATCCTTTTGGTCTTTGAAAAATTAGACTAAATATGATAAAGGTAGTTTAGTATATTAAATTGATTTTCATTGAAAATGATCGGAAGAAAAACATTGAAGTGATAATATCAGTGCAGCAAATGATTAATACCCACCTGAAGCTTCACCACTCTCTGCAATGATAGCACTAATTGAGATGAAGACTACCAAGATGAGGATGAAGTATTTCATAGTTTTACTGAAATGAACTCACACTTAGGCTTATCTTCATTTGAATGGTCTAACTAGCAACGATCCTAATAGAAACTCTCTGAAATGATTAATTTTTCTTTCGTTTAAGACATTTTTTCTACATTATTGAAAATCGCAATCTTTTTAGTGTATTAAATTGATTTAAAAAAAAAATTGAATTGAAATTGATTTTCTAAGCTTTCAATTTTCAATTTTATCAGCAACATTGCTTTCAACCTACAATCGAAAATTCTTTCATTTCAAAGAGAGTTAAACTCGATTGAATGTTGTGATACTGAAATTTCGATCGAATAACAGTTGAAGGAAAGGAATAAATCATATTTTGAATTTCAAAATGTAACTTGAATTTGACATAATCATGATTAAAGCATAAGTAAGATGATGAAGAATAACTATGATAATGTTACACTTAACATTTCAATTTATATGCAAAGAAGTTAACATTGTTTTGATTCATTGCTAAACAAGTTTGCGTATTTGACATTAAAAAAAAAGGAAGTAGAAGGCGATATGATCATAAGGTCGTTTCCTGTTGCAATAATTTCTTGCAACTTTTTTTTCCTACGAAAATAATTAGAGTGATCTTTGATTTACTGCTGTAAATGCAAAAGATGAAATGTGACAAATGATAGTCTATCAACAACCTTTCTATGATGATAACATTTGAAGCACATGACAATGATCATTAAGATTGCCAAGATCACTGAAAATAAAACGGCTAAGAATTCTTACCATTCAAATGTACCCTTTATCGGGATTTTTCATGAGAAGTTATTTCTCGAAAAGCAATCTTTTTTTCTGTTTCAAAGTTTAGCATAATTTTAAAGTGGGAAAGTTTTCATGCAACCCGCAAGTTTTAAAATGATCTCATCGACTGATAAATTGAAAACTTCGAGATGGGTGGAAATGATCATTTCCGATGTAGGATTTCACATTGAAATCTAATGCTTACTTCTAAATGCTTACTAATGCTTACTTACTCGGTGGATTAAATCTATAAAAGTGAAGATGAACATTGATCTTTTCCGCTTTTAAATATGATTAATGAGATTATCAAATTCCTCTGGTCATTATCTTCCATATTATCAATATTATCCAAGTTGTTTTAAGGTATTATTGGAATGCATAAACTTCAATTTTTACTTTGTCAATAATACATTACAATCTAATAAACAACGGTCTGCCATCTTCAATAATTATTTTTTGCTGATTTTTATTTATCGTAGTTTTAGAGCTGAAGTCCATAGATTAAAGTGTAGGTCGATTTTTCGACATTCAAATTGCAGATTACGAAATGTGTTTTCATGCTTAAATGAGTAAAATTTAAAAAAAAAGGAAAAGAAAAGGAAATAAGATCTTTGAAGTTTAACATTTATAAAAAAAAAAAACAAAATTCCATAACTGATAGCGTAGTTGAAAAAAGAATTCAAGCAAAATATCAATCACCTTGGAAACTAAAATATTTATGGAAAATGACAGCGTAATTGCGAGGTATTGAAATAAAATTTTTATTTTTGCAAAACAATATTTTGCCGGAAATATTCAAATGAGTGCGTCATAACATTAAGATAATGCAAGTGACAATGCAATCTCAAAAAAGCAAATGCTTTTTATATCAAATAAAAAAAAATCAACTCTTTATGCATTACATTTGACTGGAAAAGGACAGTGGACAATTTCATGTAATGGATAAATTTCAATTATATCAAGTTGGAAAAAACATAATCCTGATAAAATGTGAAGTATATTTGTGGTTTCTTAACTGATTAAGTGATAAAAGTTCAGAGTTCATTATAACAATTCAGACCATTACATGTCATTTAACATTCAAATCCTGGCATTGTATATCATTGTCCTTTTCAATTATGACTACTAATTTTTTAATGTTCCTCCACCCATTTTGAAATAATAAATTTTAAGTTTCTATAATTTCATAGATGATAAGGTAAATCATAATTTATATTTAGATCAGAAGCATAGCTGTTGAATTCAGTTGTATGACATCAAAAGATATAGCCTCATAAGGCTTAGAATGACTTTCAACACTTCTTTTTAATAATGTGAATATTAGCAATAATTTAACTTATTTAAATGTCAAAGTTCAAAACTCTAAAAGTTTAATATTTTGGATGGTTTGATGAAACTCACGGACAAAAAAAACTATCATTTTATCATTAAAACTTTAGAGGATGACATATATGATGACACTCGATTCGCCTAACTGAAACTTCACTATCTCTGGCTAGGCGATAATGTTGACAAACTTCGCTATAACGGAAATTAAGCGGAATCATTTTATCTCATGAGGTTTCTGGAAACAATATGTGGTCTATTTTGAATGGATGGGTGTAAATGCAACGAAATCTGAATCGTATCCAATAATGGGAGAATTACGACGACAGTCTATTGATAACATCATATCTCTCATAAAGTACAAGTCTCGCTATTTGCACTGTTGTTATTTGCTAACATAAAATACAGTGCAACAAGTAGATATGCCTGAGATTCAAGACTTTTAAACCACAACTTACCAACAGGTAAAACTTTGGAGTCCCGATATATGACGATTGCTCTTCACTTGTTTGCTTAAATAAATTTTCATCAGTATGTCTTGTTCTAAATGATTATGTACTTCTCCATAAATGTTATGAATAAATCAATCTCTAATCCATGAGTAAAGAAAATAGAAAATGAGACAAGAGACAAACGAATATTCACTTCCAAGCATAAATAAACTTATCAATTATTAAGCGCTATTACGGAATTATTACAGTAATTAATCATTTCCCTTTTCAATTACAGATTGATGGTTCCAAGTGCCCAAGATAAAAGACACACCATTGTAACGCCCGCCAACCAGATCATTTCTCAATCAGAAAATGAGAATCCAACAATACCTGATGCTTCATAAAAAATTGTTTTTCTATACCTTTCTAAAATCTGTTGGATTTTTTAAACATCAAACAAATATTCTTCAAAAGTTTTAATGAAGTACATAAAAAATAAACGAAATTATATAAGCAGCACGAAAAACTCGACACTGAAACAGGTCTTGACAATTGTATCTGTAATTAGCCTATAGCACAACATTGTATACAAAACAGAGATCCAAACTTCGTAAAGAAGCAGTTTATTGGGTTGCTTCAGTCAGAAGGAATTACCAGTATTTAACCAAGAAAACTGAGGAGGTATCTCTATGATTACGCATTGCTAGCGATGTAATGAAACGAAATTAGCAAAAGACATCCTTTTCCATGACCTGTCAGATTCATCCACTACTGTCGAATGAAAAGTGGTGAGTGAAGCAACCTGCGAAAATCCATACAAAAGACTGCCTGAGCAAGGAATTAAAATCTGCTAGCTTCACTGAACAATCCACTTACTCAACAGCGTGAAATCTACAGTTGATAGGGCTCAGGAATGCAATTCACGTTAGATTAAGCAGTCATGAATTCCTGGCTGTCCTTTATTTTTACCTATCTTCACAGTTCTACTATTGTAGGAATTTCGATAGGCGTTGCTACCTTCCCCCATAGCATTCCTAAGGGTTTTTCGAATAAGCTGGATGACGAAATCACAAGTGCGAACACGGCCCCGTAAAATTTTTTTAACCAGTTAACAGGCAGTGTTTTTTAGAAAAAAAAGATGTAGAGAAGTTTCAATTTGGATAAAAGCGTTCAGTAAGCGAAATTTATGCCAAATGTTAACCAGTCAAGCTCAAGGATTAACGAAATTGTTGCAATAGCCCTGTTAACAGAGAGCTGCAACAAAAAAAAAAGGAAAAACGCGTAATGTTTTTCTGTATTTCCCATACCTTCTGCTGCATGCTTCGAAGCAAGCTTTCTAACTGAAATAATTTCTAATGATGTAAGCTAACACCACTTGGATTTTTTTTCGGAACTCTTCTATCCAAAAAATTTAGTTATGTCATAAGGCCCTAGAAAAGAGGCTGCTCAACAGTACACAAGGTATTACGCGACCCATGTAAAATTCATTTTTAAAATACGGACAGGGAGAATTATTATTACTGCTATTACCAAATAATACTGAAGCGTCGCTATTCTCATAATCCTTTTGAAAAAATAACACAAAAATCCATGAAAATTGCAAAATGATGCAAATGCTTTGAATCAAAATCTATGGAACAAAAACATCTTGCAAAAATGGAAATCAATACAGTACTCCACAGTTATTGTAATGTGATTCCTCCAAAACAACCCATACCAGAGTTTCTATAAAAATAGAACGACAACCTTAAGGAACGCAGACAAGAAGCAACCCACAACTGTCCCATAATTCTTTAGGGAAACTCATGTAGGTCAAAAAGACTAATATCCCAATATTTTTTCTGATTTACTGAGCATTACTATAAACTGGTAAGACGAGTTCTTTCTAGAAACGGATCTAATTAGTCAACGTAATATCTGTAATGGACCAAGAAAAACAGCACTTTTTGGTGATTGAGGAAATGTAACGGTGCCAAACAAGGGACTTTCATTAAGATCCGTTTTTAGTCTCCGAACACTGATTTCTCGTTATCTATAACCTATTGAAAAATAAATGTCGTAGGTTTTGTTTCGGAATGGAAACTACCGGTAAAGAATGGATCGGCTGACATTGATTAAACAGGAATAACAAGTCAGATAACCCTCTCAGCCAGTGTGCGACGATTCGCCAGGCTGCTACATTAATAGCTTAATAAACAACGAAATAAAATCACATATTTTAGAATCAAAAGACACAAAAATAAGCAAGAAACAGTAACTTGCCAAAAAAAAGAAAAAAAATTGGATGTACAGAACAGAGGAGATTCACTGTTCCACCACTGATGAACCGTTGTTTTCATCGATGATTGGTGCTGCAGTTGCAGTTGCGGTAACGGAAGTAGGTGTAGATGTTATCGGTGATGCTGTAACACATACAGAAGGAGGTGGAGGTGCAGCGGAATGTCTTCGACGTTTCACTGTTACACTTGGCGAGGAGTCTTCGTAGAAGAGATCATCAATCCGCGATGCCCTCCGTCGCGATTCCTCCAGTCTGCGCCAGCTCATTTCGGTTTTCTTTTGCAGTTCTGCTTAATAGTGATTTACAGATATCTCATTACTGATCAGCTATATGTACTTTCCATTCCACGCTTATTATCATTTCTATTGATTGGTAATAACAATGACTTAGTAATAAGTTTCAACAGTGAGCGTTCGTTCAAACATGCCCACGCAGAGAATTTTCTCGAGCCCAAAACTACAGATATGTAGTACAACAAAGGTCATGACTGAAATAATGAAACTTGTATACCTTGAATTTCGTTGCTTAACAAACTTGTTTCTACGGTGCAATTAAGCCGTTCTGCCTGTATCCTGGAACCGATGGTTTCTTCTAAATCCAAAGCACCAACAACTCGAGTCAATCTTTCAGCAACTGCAAGTGAAAAACTTTTGGAGGGGCACAAGTGAATTCAAATTATATTGTCGGGAAATTTGTAACTGTACGACAATGTAAGATCAATCTGTTTTGTGATGAAACAGTATGAAAAGTGTTAAATCAAAATTTTATAGCACAATTCATGGCAGAACAAAGTAGGAAAAGCGTTGTTCTGCTCGAAATTAGTGCTTCTTTGCATAAAAATATTGCTAACTGTAAATGATAATTAGTCTACCTGCATCCCTCTGTGAGGGTCCCATTAGTGCAAGGCGACGAAGATGTTCCATAGAAGTGATCATAACGTCTGTTAAATCACTCAAAAGTCCCATTTCATCCATCCCTGCCCAGAATCTGATTGGTTCTAAAAGACAGAATTACTTCAGAAATTGCTTATTACGTCTAAACAATAGCACTATTTTCCAGAACGAAAAATCCCACCCTTTCGTTTTTTTCCACCCTGCATGCATGATGCAGGAAACGATGCATGCATGAACGATATGTTCCATACCTTGTTAGGACCCTTATGTAAACAAAAGTGTTCTTTTTCTCGTGAAAAGCCTGATGGCAGTCACACAAACCTCCCTTACGCACAAGCTCAGTTGACAATTCTAACAGTTTTCAGAGCGTCTATCATAACAATATGGTTCACACGAAGAAAAATCAGAGATCAAAGCCGAGCTAGCTGAGAGGAAAAAAAATGGAAAAAAGCAAAACAAAAAATGTAAGCCTAACAGTTAAATGAAAAATATGGAAATTCCCTAATGAACTAAACCATACGGTTTTTCATCACAATCACGGCACTGTTACTTGAACCAGCTGTATCTTCTTCCGCCGGTATGAGATCTTCATCGAATTTCTGACTCTTCATAAACGTTGACATTATTGCTGCAAAACAGAAAAGAGTAATTGAAATATGGGGAAAAAAATCCCATATTTTACTCGACTTAACAAACTATATGTAGTTAAAAAACTGTGTCCACTAAATACCGAGTAAGTAAACAATAATCGACTCTACGACAAAATAAAAAGGCAGCGAAAAAACGAACCATTAACAACCGAATTGCTTCGTTCATTCACTTGCGAATAAAGGCTGCAAAAAATTAAGGTAAGAAACCTTAATACTATAAAATTCTGCTGTTTAAAGTAATTTTAAAATGACACCATATCAGCTGTGACTGACGCTGAAATACCGCTTATTCAGTCTTCAGGAAATAAAAAAGGGAATCACCTCATGATGCCAGTTTTTTTATCCTCATCGAAAGCGGACGAAGTCGCTCCATAAAGCAAATCAGCGTTTAAATAGGCTTCCGTAAGGTGATTTTTAAACGACATAAAATTTCGTGACTGACATTTGGCACTACAGTAATTCTCGTGATTATAAAAATCGAGGCTTTTCATTTCCATTAATGCTCTGAAAAACTGTGAAGTGAAAAAGATGCCCGTTAACTAACGAAAAGTTTATTCTTGAAAATTTAGTTTTCTTGTTCTCCGTTTACCCTAGCTTTGAAGTTAAAAGCCTTAGTCCGGCCTCTTCCGATAATAGACCACTACTTCATGAAGCTGGCAAAAGCAGCTATATGCAAAACACTATCATTTATGATGAAATCCTTTCAGGCATCAATGAAATCCTCTTAGACATTTCTTATACTGATAACATACGGAAACAAATGAATGCAAAGAGATGTACAAAGATGCTACACTTAGAAAGGAACCCATAATTATCATGCTATTTAGGAAGAACCAACTTTTTAATTCTAGGCCTGCTGTACTTATTCTCTAAATTGTAGTGTGTTTATTTCTATATTATTTTCCGAGAAGTAAATTTCGTGTCATAGAAAGGTTAAACCAAAACATTGCTTAATCTTCATGTACAGTCACATAGCGTGCAGAATCACTCACAATAAGGCTCAAATATTTTTCTGTTCGAATTTCCAGAATACATAAAAGTCCAAATACCTCATATTTGATTTCCCAATACGGATGCTTCCTTTCCAATCCTTTTGTTTATCTTTATTGGCACGTATTGTAAATTCTTTGGGGCTGATCAGTTCACCTAAACGAAATAATTGGTACTAAAAAGATATGATAAAGCATGCACAGAAAAGGGAGAACAGCTGCATGTATATGTAAGCATGTTTTCATCCTAATAACATTTTAAACATTGCTATAAATTGTCGTAAAATAAAACAATCTATAGAATAACGAAATAATGCAATATTCACTACTAGGGTGGAATGCATTAAGCCACATAAAGGGAATCTACTATATCCATGATAAATTAAAATTCCATGGGACAGCAGGCAGAACCGGTACAATCGAAGAACAACTGACCAACATGCGCTTCACGAAATTATACTATGAATACTGGAAATGTTCAGACATTAACGCGAAAATTCCAGTATGGTAAAGACATAACTGCTTGGCAGACGCAGTCATGAAGATTTACGAGTAGGTATAATTATAGCAGCATGACTGCCTTAAAGCTTCCTGACAATCAATCTGGATGGATCTGCTACTAAAAATAAGTAAAAAAAACAAACCATCCAGTTCAATGCATGGTTGATGTATTCCCGGGCAGACGAATTTTTCAGTGTGTAAACGAGCTACCAAATGTCCACATCTTACCTAAAAGTTTCAAAAAATTAATCGGAAAAAAACCGCAAAATTTTGTAAGAAAGCTGCTTTTGAACAACTTTCGTTTTCCATCGTTAAAGATGCAGGAAAAACCGTATCAAACGGTTATGCTTCAGTGTTATCAAATAAGGAATGAGGGCTTAGAACCATTAAATCCAAAAATATTTGAACACATTGCTCGTACTGAAACAGTGAACATTTCAAACTGCGAAGTTCAGCAAAACATGGAATATCCCTAAAAAAAAAAAAAAGAAAAGAAAAAAAAGAAAAAAAAAGAACCGGATATACAAGGACGAGACCGTTTCCAACAAATCGATGTAATTTTCTAATAGCTTGCTTGAAACAAACCTCTAGAATAGGTGCTTTGAGATCTACTGGTGTAGTACTGCCACCATCATCTGCTCCATTGACTGACATATTTAATGCGTTTCACAAATCTTCGCAAGGAATAATCTAGAATCACTACTATTCAGAATCTATTAATCTACTAATAACCTATTCAGAATCATTACTTCTTTTCAAATCTTTCCCACTTCCTACATATTTCCTTACTCCACGACAATACGGAGCAGATGAATAGCAAGAAACGGATATCGATTGATTAAAATCAGGTTACCTAAATTACAGTAACCTGATAAGTGAATGGTTGTGGTGAAAGAGGTTACGTATAAGTGCTAGTTTTTGTAATTACATATACGATCGGTACAGCATACAGCATGCAACTATAACATCATCATATAAATGGTTTCGCATCACACATAAACTCAAACTCACAAAACGATGAAATCGGTTGGGAATTGGATGACCTGTTAAATAAAATTAAAAGTTTCCAGTAAATTGGATGGAGAATGTTTCTAATGGAGTGACAATGCCGCAGAGCGCAAGACTTGCTCACTAAAGTGTCGCTTACGTTACGATTACAAAAGGTAGACCAAAGCGAAGTGATCACTTACGACTACACACTTTACGACTGGAATATTCTAGTGGTGTTCGCATAGGAATGGAGCGGGCTCTGCTAAACTTCCCACTCCTTCGGTGGAAAGAGATGAATAGTTATGTCACGCTTATCTCTCTGTGCTTAAACAGGATGGCATTGATTCGATGTTTCATTATACGCTTGCGCTTCCCTCTCTCATTGGAACATTTGACATACACGTACGTGTAATGTTTGCTAGAAAGTGCAAGCTGAATGAGGTCAACGAAGTAAACAGGTCTACACTTACCAAAGTCTAGCACTGATATTACAGGTTAGCTAAGCTCGAGTAGGACGTCGTGGGTGCAGAGGTCTCTTCTCGTGCTGTGCTGCTCTCAGTGCCACCGCCGCCGCAGATGCTGGCGAAGATAGTTGTGATGCTGTCGAATGGGGCGTGCGCGCGCGTGTCCGCAACGCAGCGTACGTCAACATATCGTTGCTGTTGCCGTGGCAGTGTTGCTGTTGCTGCAGCCGTTGTGTTGCACTCTCTGCGCTCTCCGTGTTCGGCCTGTTATCTACACGTATTTACATATACACACACTCATACAATCAATGCAATTGATGGAGAAGAAGGCTATTCGTGTCGTAGCCAGTCGGTCGGTCTGTCTATGTACGCCTCGATGTATATGTATAGACGTGTGTGCGTGTCTGTTTGTCTGTGTATGTGAGCGCAGAACGGTAAGCTTGGAAGGAGCACGCTGACGCAGGGAGGGTATAGAATAACCTCTCGTGACAAGCGGGACGACAATGATGACGAGTATCGCAATGGCACCACAACAATCCATCGACCCAACCCTTTCCGTCTTGCTGTACCTTTCCTACTCTTAACCTTAATCTACCTTCACTCTCATCTACCCTTACCTTACCCTGTCTTGCCCAACTGTCCCTTACCTTTACCCTACCTTACATCTCCCCCTCCTTATCTTTGCTCTACATCCCCAACATGCTTATGGCGTATGTTTCTGCACATCTCTCTATGTCTCCGCCCTATACGTGGCTCTCGTTATCGTTGTATAGAAGTGATGCAGCAGCAGTAGTAGCAACAGCAGAATAAGAGGAGTGAACGCTTGGTGTTGTCCTCAGTGATTTGGGAGGAGGTGACACTCACCATAGGGGTCATACTGGGAGAAAGGGGGGAAATGATATTTCTCGCCACATCCTTCAGTATGCACACAATTCGTTCTTCTCATTGTGTGGTAAACTCACACCAACCTCAGTAACACGAAATTGACGGGGTGAAGGTGGACTGGGACAATGTCGCTAAGGTGTAATAAAAACGTGAAGTGCAATGAAAGGTAGTTGATGAAGTGCATTTGTCTATTGAAGAATTAAACTTGAAATGAAACTCTTAAGCAAATGTAATTTAGGGCAGATTTCCTTTATAAATGCTGTTAAACTTGCCTGTTTGATATCATCCTAAAGCATGATAGAACCATTCGTGATATTATCATTTGTAGTGTAAGAGTGCGCCTCCTAACGTTATCAGTGATAACATGACATAACCTTCCCTAATGCTTTCTCTCCATCCTCTCCACTGAAAAATGTCACCATTTCATTAAAATGTTAAAAAAACTGAAATTCGAGGCATTGCGTAATATTTCCTGAAAAAGTTGAATGAATTGATTTGTGGTAGCATATGTATGGACATATCATTGTGTCACGTACTGTTAATACGTCGCTTAACTGAATGACCAGAGTGTTCCGATAGATAGCATAGCATTGTTCGTATAGCAAACTCATACTGACCATTTTTCGTGGGAGAGAATTTCATAACACTACACAGCATATAGATTTCATTATCACCAAGAATTTTGCGGGATTTTAGATGAGAAGTCGTGCATTTTGGAATCGATTGGGAAACAAATCGATGTTGATGTGATAATCCACAAAGAAAAACAGGAAATATATGGAAAAAGCGAAGCAAGAATGTCACACTGGATAATACGGCGGTCACAAGAAACTTTCATTTACTCCTCTAAACTCTTTGGAATTCGTGGCCTTTGATCCCAAGGTCAGTGGATGATATCATTTGTGGTCAAGAAATAAAGACTATGCAACAAATCTGCCATCCGGATTATCTTAACAAGTCTTGTAGTGTTGAAAAAAATGACAGGATTTGGATGGAATTAAAGTAATCAGAATTCCGTTTAAGTAATTATAAGTAGGATTTGATTGTTTGATTCGAAAGAAGTTCAGACTGTCAAATAGTTGGAAATACATTTTCTTTGTACCTCAAAGTGTAACAGTGTCTTCTGAGCTTGACCGAAGTCCAGCACTTTCTATTTCCGCCATTCTATAATTTCTCAATGTTTTTAGGTCAAATTTTTAAGGTCGATTGGAAAGTATTTAAAAAATAAAAATAAAAAATAAACCAGTTAATGGGATGAACAAGAAAACTGTCCCCGATGATTCGATAGATCGTGTGAGAACACGATGGATAAATCATTCTGCCGCGGTGTAACAGGAAGTACGGTTTTCATGGTCCTGAATCTGTTTCCAAAATTTGATGTTTGATAGTATAATGCCATTAATTTTGTCCCTTAGGAAACTAACTTTTGTTGCTAAAATCTGAGCAATCAATTGAAAGGCTGATTGAATTTCATTGCTTAATTACTTCAAACCATTAAGTAATTAATTTGCTCATTAGCATATGTAGGAGAAAGTAAAAGGACAAATTTCTTGCTGCTAAATTTTCATTAAATACTTTGTTTTTTGATGACTTTATTTTCAATCCTTTACTTTTGAATGATTTCTCAACGAGAATTTATCACAGTCTATCCAATCTCTGAACTGCTAATAACAATTATCAGTTAGGATGACCTTCACTGTTTTTAGTGGCATAACTTCTAAAAGCTCCTGCTAAACAAAATACTATCCCGGTAGTGTTGAAAATGTAAAATTAAATTACTATTATTGCCGGCGATAAGTATCGATGAAGTGTTCCTGCGTGATGAAGTGATCGAACTTGCAAATTTCATACATTCAGAGAAAAATTTGCATTTCTCGCAAAGATACTGATAATATAGTAGCATTAAGGAACATTTTTAAAAATTTTTTATTGCTATAAAAACAATGAACAATAACATTTCCATATATTACACGTAGATAAGAGCATCAAATAATGTAAACAAAAACTTGACGTGGACAAGATTGTCATATTTTTAATGTGTCCCTCCTCCACCTTTTTTTTGTTGTGGTACCAAAGAAATTTGCATTTTTTTAGAAGGTGACAACCGTGATAACAATATAGTCAAGTTTTTTGTCTCGTTAGCAAAAAGGCAAACATAAAAATAATCATGAAAAATACTGAATTTAAAAGAACATCACCTTGTATTTCGTTTTTTAAATTTAAATTGAAATGGATAAAGCTATCCGAGCTGTTAATTTCATACATCTAAGCTAGAAAAGATGACAAACAAGCTATATCATTCCTTAGTTGACAATACCAATGAATTTCAAATTTTAATAAAAGCTAAAAATTGAACGGAGTTTATAAATTTTAAGCGAATTTTCAATGCCAATTAAATTTACAAAATTAACAAAACTTTAAATATTAAAGTATTGTTAATCTTTTATATAGTAATGGAAGATAAAATAGCTGCATTACCCTTTTCAGGAATAGGTACACCCGAATGTTTCATCGATAAAATGTAATGAATTTCAAGAAATGTTGGTCGATCGCTTGGTATCCTTCGCCAGCATTCGCCAATGAGATTCGATACCTGTTGAGGTAAATGCATAGGAAGCTCCAGATATATCTGAAGTATAATAAATTTTAAAAAAAGAGAAAAAAGCCACTGTAGAATTTATTTCTGAAAATTTCCACAAATAATTTAACTTTGTGCAAAGAATCATTAGCTAACAAGTAGAATAGTTTCTGTTTGTTTTTCTCTTTAGATTTAACTTTCAGATGTCACTGAGAGTGTTTGTGTGTCACCGATGATGCATCACAATATTTGGTTTAACTCAGCTAAAATTTTACAAGAAAAAAAAAAAGGAAATAAAAAACAATATTGCATAAAAATTTTAACTTATATTCTTCCATTTCTTCCGCTTTAATAATAAACAAATTACATGCAAATATATTCAGAAATTCCTGTTTTAATTATATAATTAAAATGTGACCTCTGTTTGAAGAAATGACATTTGAACTTTGCTCTCAATGCTGTAATTCGATTTCTTTGGTATTGATGAATTTGAAGTACAATAATGGAAGGGAAAGTATTTCGAGTACAATACTTTAATACTTTCTGATAGCTTCTTTTTCAGTAATTTTTATTACCTTTTATTTGCTATTGCTAATAATCTTAACACTTCATTTTTCATCATTTTATGAATTATTTTGTTTCAAATATCTATAAAAGAAAAAGACCTTGACCCTTGTCGACCTTTGACCTTTGGGTAATAATTAAAAGAAAAAATTTTAATTGCAACAGCAACTTTGGCTTTTCAGCAAGTTATTTTTAGATTGATTAGTTTCGGTTTTTTCATATGAAATCGTTGAATGACGTCATTTTTGTAAAAGTTGACATTTCAAACTTACTTCATCTGAATTTCAAAGTTATACTATGTCAATCCAATACATTAACAATAGCTGGCAATGTTTGAAGGAAATTTAAATTAATGTAATTAATACTAAGAACGAATTTTTAGAAGAATAATAAAAACAAGTCATAGCTGATAGTCTTATAAAAACATTTTGATAAATAAATATTTGAAGAAACAGTGAAATGACATCTAAGAACATTAAATAGTACCGTAATTACAGTTAAAGTATTTGGGCGCTAGTAATAATCATCATTACAATTTAAATTAGTAAATTAATTTGTTTTAAGCTTAAAATTCTGAGGATTTAAAACAACTACTGAAAGAAACTAACCGCATCAAGTCCACTATAGATATGTTTAGCATTCTCAAGTAATTGAGCATTTGTCAATTCAGCAAATGGTATCATCGTACAATCATTGAAAACTTCCCAAGCTGTCACCGCAAATGACCAAACGTCGCTTTTATTGCTCCATTCATTCTGAAACAATTCCAATTCTAATAATCTTTTCAGAAAACACGTAAATATTTTGCGAAAAACTCAATTCTACCTTTAACGACAAAAACTTTCCATAGTGATAGTTCGAATAATATAACTTCTTAGGAATGTAAAAGATAGCTTCCCTCTTTCCTTCTTTCTCTCTCTCTCTCTCTCTCTCTCTCTCTCTCTC